TATATGACGTTAGGATAATTTGTCGAATTGTATCACTCTCATAGGCATTGTTACACGTGACTTTCGATAATTTAAACTAATAACACACCACCTATTGAAAACGATTTCTTCTATTTTCAAAAAGCATAATATCTCAAGCATCAATTTCAGGCTATTTTTGCTCGGGTGTACCATTATTGATCTTATTTCTTCTATATACTAAGAGCGGTAGAAGTGAATTGCATAAAGTAAAGCCCACTAGTCGCTAATTCGCTGTCTAGTCGGCCATATCATTTAAAGACAATGTCGCTGCGCGGTTAATTTTATGCGCTACCGTAATATCGTACCGTTGCTTCACTTATCAAATTACCATGATTAGGCTCTGAGGTAATAAAGACATTGTGGCGATCGATCGTGACATTCATATCTTATGTTTTCATTTACCTCAAAGCTCTTTTACTGTTTTCTGTTACGGACTCTTAACAACGCTGTCGCTATTGCCAAATCCGAAGTAAGAATTCACAGAAATGGCCGGCATAGATGGCTAAGCATTGAGCCGCATACGCAACGAAAAGTTCTCACGGGTCTATTTTAGCGTATCAAAATTGTACGTGCATGTACATGTGTAAGCTGCTAAAAAATTGATGCATAACAATCCGATTGAGATTATGGACCAAATGATAAAATTAACGAAAAAGCAGGTTTTACCTTTTTTTCAAGTTGGGAATAGGCCGCATCAATCACGCCTTATTCAGAAATCCTGCAACATATAAAAACCATGGCAGCGTTCATTCTGTAGAGCTCATCATAGGCGCAACTGTGACATACGATCACCACACAGCTGTTTTGTTCCACCAGTATCTTAAAACAAGTATAGTACGAAATTTCGCTTTAGCCTAAAATACTAAAATATCTATAGATTTGTAGAACAGGTGATTTAGATTCCAAAACATTGTACTTAATAAAGAGAATTAATCAAATCGACACTCGCTGCCTAAACGTAATATGAGATTATTTCTTAATTTTCCTAAAACCCTTAACCTACGGAGCACTTCGAAAAAGCTTTTTACGTGTTGACCTGCGCACATGTCATTCTGTGAGTGAACACGCTCAATATTAAAGGTGTAAATATTTATCAGTAAGAAAACTGTTAATTAAATACTGTTGGATTAGATTTTTGTTCGCACATTTTATTTAATGAAATAAGAGCGGACTCTCTGCGACAGGATAAACTTCTGATTAGGCAGAGCAAAAATCTTACCCATTTTTCATGCTTTAAAATGTGGCAGTTTGTGAAATATGGGTTTATCACATTTCACACAATTCATTGATTGAGCACAATTCATTAATGTTTATTCAATCTGAAGTGCTGTGCATTAATGACGTGGCAAGATCCATTGTTTTTAGCGTGTCGGTGTCGCAAGTACAAGCTTCGTATGATTCGTCTGTCAGGTAGTTATGTATAAACGCATGAGACACGCACGTTCAACTTGACCATTATTTATGTTACGTTAAGGAAATAATTTACTAGATAACTGCAGCATGAAGTACAACCCCAGAATAATAACCCTATTCTAATTTAATCAGATCCAACGAGCGAAATAAACATTTGAAAAGATAATATCCCTCAGAGAACTTTTCAAGCGGTGTGCAAATCTGTATCTCAGAAATACTTGCTATGCCATCTTATTTGTCGTGAATGTGGACAAATATTCTAATCAAGTGGTTTCTAATGAAAGTTACTGATAAGCAACAGCCGCATATGATGGGGTATTTAATTAACGCACAGAAAAATTTTCAGGAATTGATAGCGCCGGCTGTTGTGTGGCCGTAAGATGTTTGTTCATATAAGGAGACAATTTTACATCGAAGTACTTATTGCATATATCATTGGTCTATACTACCGCGTTTTTCGTTCGAAAACCTATGGTTTGATCAGCGTGAATTATACATGATCATTTTCAGACAGTTTTCGATCCTTGTTGTTGGTTGTATATGAATGCTAACTCTACCGTATCCAGCATGGGAGAGTTTAGAATTAGTGGACGTAAACGCGGAGCGTTTTTTCCATATGAGCGAATGCACCTTTTTTCTTGCATGTAAAGGCTATAAATATAGAGATACTTCGATCTAGCCGTAAAACAAATAATAGGTACAATACAATTACGTTGCTTTCGAATGCAAAAGGTGCACTGGACAGGTGGTCCTTGAGAAAAGAGACGACTGCAAAAATCCACATGAGATTTATGACGAAAGTAGGCCGCATGTACAGCTGCAGCCGCCGTAACGCTCGTTTTCGAAGCCCGAACCTGTATGTGCATAGATCTTTGCTGTAGTATACATAAACAGTCTTTATCGTCTTACCGCAACGATTATGATTACTGAAAAGCGAAGGGCAGCTGAAATCCGTGGATACGTGCGCTGAACCAGCCACATCTCAGCCCCGTATAGAGGAGCAACCGGCCTATCGGGGCTAGAATGTCAATTGTCATCTTTCACAACAAAAGTATTGTAGTAGTATATCAAATTTCCCCGTATCGATTTTTGAGTTACGTCGTAAGCAAGACCTCCATAACGAACTCAAAGTGGAACGATGAGATACAGCAGAAATGTGTGGATATCGCGACCATCTTGCAGAGTAGAATCTCTGGCTCTACGCCGTCTCTGATCGAAAATGACAAGTGACTCAGAAAAAATCGATGTGCTTAAAAAAATGATAATTTTTCCTGATCGTGACTATCATGTCGATGGTATACAGAAGACACACGCATGAGTACACGCGAAAATTTTCTTATAGGTTATTATATTATAGGGTACAAAAAGCGGATACCTACTACACTATCAAATCAAGACCTCTGGTATAAGCAGCTCTGTTTCAAGCGATAGCAACGTTCATTTCTTCATGCTGACCACGTTAACGAAGAAAAATGTGGGTGTCAGCATAGGCATGAGAGATATCAGCGAGCAGAACCCCTAAATTCATTGATGAGCGTTGATGTTATGCAGGACAACTTTGTCTACGTCAATGTTGTTGGAAGAATATTGGGATGCTTCTTCTGCTAATTGTATTCGGAGCATCCTGTTTTAAAACTTGGCCCCTATGCAGAAGTACCAAGCAAGCAATAGTACTATGAGTATACACAAATTTGTCTAGGTAGAGAACACCTAGTTTGCGTGTGAATAAGCTTCACCTAGAAGATTGTTTCATTTTGTCAATTCACCTGTATAGAAATAGACAGTATGTAACTTGCACAATAGAGCTATGGGATCGCTTCGGTTCGAGCAGGACGATAGGACAAACGCGAGGCCATATAAATCTTCTCGTTAAATGTGAATTGTCGCAACCCCTCGACGGTGAACACATAAAGATGCTGGCCGAGCCGTCTAATCACACTCGTGTTGTTTTCACGCGAATGCTTTTTGAAGCTTAGTAAAATTAGACATAGAGCTGTTGGGTTAATGAAACATTTAGTAGATATTTGTTGTCCGTTGATACTCTTTCTTGTGGTACTTAGTCTTCTGCGTGCTGCACGTGGCATAGTATTATTTCTGTGCAACCAGATTCAAATGGCACGACCTTTGTAGCATCGTTTAGATATAATCTGTACCGGGCGAAAAAGAAGTGCCTCGTCGTGATAACTGTTAGTAACGGAAATTGTAAATCGATGCGTTCTAGGACTGATTGAACAATCCTTCCGCAAAGATTGGCCACCTCATTTGGATGCTCACCTGCCATACAGATAAACAATGAACCAATTAATTTTATAAGTTCACCTTGACTCATCTCCCTACGCACAGGCCTTTGCATCGCCTATATGCTTGTCTCTATTTAGGCACAGATGGGACAATGGTAGCACTACTAGGCTGAGATTGAAGACAATCGATGCTAACGAATAATATGGCATTAAGGGACGACTGAAACAGCTTGTAACTAAACATTACTCCTAAGTTCAGAGCAAACGGCCTATTTTTCGCTAGTACAATTACACCACCTACTAGTTGATCGGCCATCTGTAGTAGTCGTAGCCAAACACCGATTTTCGCTACTTTTATTACTTGAAGTGGACAACGGATGCAAACTGAACCATCAGATTAAAGTATATTTTACTTAAGCTGATACACGAAGCATGAGTATAGATCTGATTTAGATCTAGAGCAGTTTAGCCAGAATATACGTATATTATTTTTAATTAGTAACAAATAAAAAAAAATAGCTTCTGTAGAATTTAAATATGTGATTGGCTAGAATCTTAATTCAGTAGGCGAGATACAGTTGTACGTTGATGATCCGTTCGATTATGTTTTGTTTCTTATTTGAAAAGTAAGAGCGAAAAATTTCCGTCGTCAAGCGATCTCAGTTTGTACGAGCACTTGTATGCAAGTAACAAAAATATATCGAATTATCGCATTTTGTACCCCTTTGTCCTAATAAAACCGTCCTTGACTTGCTCGTCGATAATCTTATGGATTCAACAAGCCTAACATACGTATGGAGAAAATCCAGGGTCCTGTCGATTGAACTCGACTGTTTTATCGGTAGTGCACTGAAAAAATGGCCTATCGTCTACCTATTACTTTCTGGTTTTTCTAGTCTAGTAGTTCTCAATAATTTTCAACTACAGAAAAGAGCTCTATAATGAATTTCACTCAGCTTCATCCATTAATCCGGAAACATGCTTCACAATATTGCGCTGAAATTACCAGTCTACAATATCAATACGACGATACAAGATAATGAATTCTCTACAGGCAATTAGCATAGATTTGCTTATTTATTCTTAAATACAGCTATTTACATGCTTAAATGCGTTAATAAGATCAAAACTACCCCCCTCCCCCTCTCTCTCTCTATCTATCTCTCTCTCTCTATCTATCTATCTATCTATTTCTCCATCCCTCCCTCCCTCTCTCTCCATCCATCTTCCCCTCTCTCGCCTTCTCTCTCTCCTTCCCCCTCTCTCTCTTACCATCTCTCTCTCTCTCTCTCTCTATATATATATATATATATATATATATATATATATATATATATGCATTCGACGACAAAAAGATAGTAGACAAGCTTATTCCTCGTTTATAATATGAATGCGTTCAGTGTTTTTAAATCGATCGCGACGTCAGAAAATTACTATCGAGCTCGAAAATATGTCGGTAATAATATGTACAGTGGTAACTGTCTAACAACCTATCCTCTAAACTCCAGTATTGTGATTTTTTAGCTACGCTATATTGTACAGTGCATCGTATTGAGCCTCCTCTACTACTAAAGTTGTCATGTTAGCAAATGTTTAAATACGTATATTGTTCGAATATGTGAAAAGTTTAGTATCTTCGTAAGCTATTGGCTAAGTAAAGCCCAACAACGAATTAAGTGCGTTCGCCCAAAAAAAGGATATACCCGAATTTCCTTAATACTAAGCATACATGGCAATTGGAGACTGCGTAAATATAAGGGAAGCGCCAGACCGCGTTACGGGCTTCACACTAACCATTCAATCGATGTGAATCACTCGGAGCAGTGAAGATTTTCATAAATTGGATCTTATGCTTTGCCTATAAAAAAAACAATATCTTTGGAGTAGCGTGCTAACGAATATCTTTTCTAGGTTTAGAAGCGGCAGCTACATGAACAATGCTCTAGGGAACGGAGATCGTTCGGTGCCCTTTACTTTATGTTTGACAAACTACCGATCCTTGTTAGCCCGTTATGTACAAGATACAAGTAGCCTAGTGGTAATATAATCCTATTCTAAATGAACTGAGGTTTGACATACACGGAAGTTGTATCCTTAAAATGCTTATTCGTTGCTTATACTAGCTGATCTATTGTACAATAACTGTACAATGTATTAACAAAAAGAGCAACGACAAACGTCACTATCTTAGGGAACATCGAATTCCGATTTCATGCCAGACTACTTATATTTCTTGAATAGGACAAGAAAAAGGACGACGTTTTCTTACAGCTGTGTCTCTGTAAGTGTTTTTACTTCTAGAAGTGGTACGGTTCGCTTACGTTCCTCGGAAGTCGTGTTCGTTAAGCAGGTCTGTCGTCTCTCCAGACCACTTCGGCTAAACGATACCGGGTCCTTTTTGTCGAATACAAGTCGGCGTAGATCACCGATGATATTTGGTTTACACGTGAATCCGATGAATATAAATACACCTTGAATGAAGCCAAGTATTAAGAAGGGATATGTGAACGCAGAATGACCCAGTTCACTTTCAGTCACAAACGACGATATGCCAAACAGCCAGGTCAGCCCCACTATGATAGCAAGCCGAAGATAAAGTTTCATTCGGACCATCTCTCGTCTGTGATTCGATGAGGACGTCGTCGGCCCTGTCGGAACTCGGCCAACCCGACTCTGAGCCTGTCGGATGCGAACAGTCGTGTAGATAAACAGCGAAAAATTTGCACTAATAATAAGTAGTGTAGGAAGAGCGAAGAATATAAGAAAGCCACTTCGGTTACCAAACCAGCATACCTCGACGCCGTACGCCGGCGCGAAACGACTGGTAGGTGACAACCAGCCAACCAGGACCCCGCTCACAACTACACATAACGAGCCTGTTAATGCGAGAATCACGTAGCGTCGCAACAAATGATGTGGATCACTAAACATATTGTACGCGAGACACCTGCAAGAATCCACCGCCATGATAAGCATCCAGAAAAAGGACGAAATGTAGAAAAAATGTGCTCCAATAGCCACCAGCTCACAACTAAGATGGCCTGGCTCGACATCGTCCTTAATCAGAAATGTCATATGTCCGAGAAGGATACACGAACTAAGTATAATAATGATCCTGCCTGAACGTGAAGAACGAGTTGAAGGCAACGCGAGATAGACGACGATTTGCAGAGCCAGACAGACGCATGAACTAATCAAGCACACCTCCGAGACACGCTCGAGCGCCGGTGTGATAGGTTGAGTTACTGGGGTGGTGGTACAGACGCGAACGTGGGTTACAGTGCCCCACGTGTCCGTTATGTTGGTATAATCAGAGAAGACCCTTTCTACAGATTTCCACAGGATAAGGTGCGAATTCAAAAACCTGACCCATTCCACGTCTAACGTAAGGATGAAGCAACCGACTTGTCCGTTATCGGTAACGCACTGCGCTCCGTTCCAAATGAGGCCCACTTCGCAGAGTACAGGCTGACACACGACGCCCATGACAGCGACCTGCCCTGGAAGACATTCTAGTTCTGGAACGAGCAGGAAGTCTCCAATGATACGAGGACTTTCCAGTGCTGGCGATGGAGCCGGTAGGCCCACAGTGAGTTGTCCTAATGAAATTCCACTGCAAAGTGCACAGTGCACATTGCGATAGACGACTATATCCTTTGCAGAGCCTGGAATAATACCAAAAAGTGCAATAATGAAGGTTCCAGAAACTGTAGCATAAGATCACCAATCATAGCTTTGGAATCAATCGTCTTAATAACTGATTACTATCAATAACTACCAATTACAAGCAAAACATGATACGACCGTGTCTTCACTTTTCAAAATGAGATGTATCCTACCATATGCACCCACACTATTGACTTTGCAGAAATTACCAGAGGCAGGGGAAAGAAATCGGCCTCGAAAGTCAGACGCAAGTTTATTTTCTACTTTCTATATTCTGTGGGTGAGGACCTTCCTTGCAACCACATTTTGTCGAATGACTAACTTCATTTCTTAGGAGGTACCTTTCTGGGTATAACTAAACACAGTACTCAAATTTAGATACTTTTGTAAGTACAATTTTACTGCCAGTAATAAACGTAGGTGAGACTGACCCTGTCATCGAAATGTCCTTTGGAATTGTCATTTCGTTTATTTGTTTCTGATTATTAGGCCGAACTTGCTCGCAGACCGGGCAGAACTGCAGATTTCTTAGAAAGTCGAAATCGACTTGGTACTGTCTTAGAAAACAAAATACGATCCTGCTATCTTTCAGTTAATTTTTGGTTATGCACCCGCTAAAGTAAAAAAGTGGCTAGGTTCATCTTCTTTATGCTAGTATCACAAAGATGCCATTAAATGATTAGGGAACGGGGAAACGATTTAGCGACTTCTTCTCACTACCTGAGTACTTAAAATTTGACTTCAAATAATTATATTTAAAGAGTTACGACACTCGGCGCGATCTAAGAAAAAGATCCAGATCTACTTCCAACAGTTACAGAGCGCACTCGATAGCATTTCGAAACGCAAGACGCTATTGAGCTTTTGGAGCGGACACGACAGGCTGAGTCATTGGGATCAGCTTTCTTTTGGCCTGGATTACCTGTGTTTGACGCCTTTACTAAGGTTAAAGGCAACTTTTGAGAGCCTACGGAACAGGGTCGCTGAACATGTCCTGAACAAGCAGCATTTTAAAGGCGCAACCGAACTAACATCTCTACGGGGCGCCAAAGATACTTAATGCCAGCCTCATTATCAGCCAGAGAAACTGTAAGGAGCTCGAGTGCATGTGCGGGTTTCCACACTTGGTTTAATTGGCAATCCTTAGGTGGCGAGAGTATTCAGATCAAACTATCCGAAGCTCTATCGGAGTGAGGTTAAATCCGAAATAAACTGACAGCGACAGCAACGTACCTGTATACACGTATGCGGTGTACTGGCTGCATAGTTTCGAATCTGAAGTGTCTGCAGAGTCGTTACAAGCGTTGACCGTTGGAAAAGGTGGGCAAAGGCTTGTATTAAATACGTCAGTAAAATTCGTCCAATCAAATTCAACTACGTCCACAGCTAATGTGTATTCGTCCTAAAGCAAACGGGACCAGACATTGATATTTTTTTAATAACAAAATCCAACCATGGTATGTTATTTCTAAAATCAGATAGATTAATATTTGCCAGCTCAATTCTGCAAACCTGCTTCTCACTGGTGATTATATCATTATTAGGCAACGTTAGCGGAATAATGAACTTTGGTTTAACACTCTTAGTTTCCATTTTGCGTTAGTTATTTGCTCAAATCAAATAAAATCTCAAGAATTATGAATAGCACAAAGGTACCAGGTCATTTTTTGCGCGTATCGACCCTCTGCATCCACTACGAGTATTACCATGATTGACTAAAAAGTAGATTTGCTATACAATAAATGTCTGTTATAGTCGTATACCAACTTTCTCATAAAAGAGATGGTACTTCCTCGTCGTCTCATTGTAGTACCAATTGCGTTCTTGAAAAAGCTTCCTGATCCCACCGCGTACATCAACGTTTTTTAATGGCGGTACACTTGGCCACCAGCTAGCCCTTCTCTTCCATTTGTATCGACTGGTTTTTAGCACGCTTTCTGGTATATTGCATCTCGCGCAATACTCGTTACGAAATAATATTCCATGCACGAAAACAGGTTCGTGAATCAACGACGAAGGCTGGTCCACGTTGCCGTTGCAGCCGTCTAGCAGAGTGCCGTTGATGCATTTCGAGAATACATAGTAAAAACGTGAACTCGAGCCCGAGCGATAACAGTGATAGTTCTCGTTTCTTAAGGGCTTCTTTGCATTTGAGTAGTCCACACAACAGTCACCAAACTGTAGGCAAAACGCGTCGCAATAGCAGACATCGCCAGCCAGTGCAGTGATGTCCGGCTCACGGAGCGTGTCGCCTTGACAAAGGTGACGGTTCTGCCCGTAAAATCGAAGTTTATCGATTTCCCGTCGAACCGCATGAAGATCTACTTGAGACCGCGAGGTGACGTAGACAGCGATAATGAGGAGAACCAAAATGGAGGCTTCAGTATCTGCTGCCATATTACCTCACGAATTTGCTGAAAACGACGCATGGAAAATATAAAGGAAAAATCGCATTAGGCTTTTTTCAAACGAAAATGCCGCCATGAAGATCAAACTTGACGTATTTAAGCATTTGCAAAATATTTCAGCTCGACAACTTATTAATCTAAGAAGATTCCATTGATGCGTAAAATGGATTCGAAAACAGATTTGGAAATTATAGTTCTGACGCTCGCATCACCTAACCGACTCTGAGAAGGTCACTTTAAGTTTTACCACACTGTGATAGAAATGCAAAGGCCGGTTGTATGTAAAATAATTCCTAACAAAAACACACAGCTTGACATAATGTACTTGCTACTAGGATGAGCTGCCTGATATGCTAAAAAAAGAGCTAGTTTTTTATTTTTGCTTAATTATTTTGGGCAGAGACTTATTAGGTTTGTGGTATTGAAACATATGCTTTTAAGAAAACCTTCTGCCCATTCCGCGAAGTTCACATTCAGAAAACCGTCTGAGCCCTAAAATTTTGATTGTGATAACCAATTCTACTAAAAAATAACGATAACTTGTTAATTTAACCGGCGTCTCATATAAGTCCGATTAGAATGTTAACAAACTATATTTCGCTATTTGGCACCAAACGGCGATACTAATTTTTATTGATAGCGGTCATGGCCAGGCTGAACCATGTTGTGTCGGCTACTAATATACACAATATGTATATACGCCTTGTAATAGTCCGAAGCAGCTATCTTGAGCATATAGAAAATTTGAGAAAAATTTCATGGTGACACTGGGGGCGTAAACTGTACAACTTACGCTGATAGATAGCATGGGTATGTTCTGAAAGTACACTTAATTTACGCTATATGGTCTCAAAGCAAATTTATATATAAGTCGTGTTTTTCTGAGAAATCCTATTGTGAGATGCTCTCTCTTGATAAGATCTTCGTCACTCTATTCAAAAGGGAAATCGATCTCTTTTTAGATCCTAAGACGCTCATCCACGAGGTTACTACATTCTGTTAAATCCGATAAAATAAACATTAATAGATGTTTAATTTATGTTGAGTGTTAGAGGCACGGTCGTGCGGGACTGAGCTCGTTATGAAGCCTCTTTGTTTAGCGTCAAGAAGGAAAAAGACTAAGGTTTAAAAGCTGTGTATTTCAAGACTAAAAAAGACAGTGCTTGGAGCATTCCGTGAGGATCATCGACATGCTACTGAATGATATGTACATAACATTGCGTATATGAAGCCCAAACCGAGATTTCATGTTACGAGCTAAATGCAGTAGTTCATTTAAAGACAAATGTAACAAAAATTAACGAAAATCCCATACGTACGTTATTTAGATAAACCCGAATCAATCCAATGCCTGAATACAGAACCGGTACCATACTTGGCTTAGCTGATGGAAAATTTCGGCCAAATTTGCAAAACCTTTTTTCCACCAATACCCTTATGATCAAATACACCTAAAAGAAGGTTAGTTTTTTAGCTTTGAAGTCGGTTAGGGTAATAGCTGGCTCTCCGTTCTTATAAACAATTTCTTTCCATACCTTATATCAGGTCCTAGTCCACACGAGCGTGCATCCTTTGCAATTCATCTACCCACCAGTTTGCGGTAAGCCACTCATGTTCCGCGCGCGCCTTTTTCTTGTTTGAAAGCCACACCACGAATAACAACTTTTACAAGGTGTATTTTAATTTCCCTTTGCTTCCGATGAGTCAGCTAAAGCCTATCGTTTCGTTACTGCAACGTCTGCCAGCAGTGATGAATTGTTACCAGCGTCGACTACGGGTCGTCACAGGTAATGCGGCCGGCAATGACGCATAAGCCTCCTTCCGTCAGCTACCGACTGACGCGCCCTCTAGATAAACTCCCCGCTCGTTAACGACACCCAAGCCTCACCCCGTCTTCCACAACTGGCAGCAAAAGAGAGTATACAATCTGAGTTTGTCCTAGAAATTTATTTGGGCAGCGTAAGTCCAACACTGCGTAGACAACGCCCAATAGCATTCCTAAAGTTCAGCAAGTCTTAAACACTTCCTCTTGCTAAACGTACTCTAATAAACAAACAATACCGTGATTTCTGCGAAAAACGAAGTACCCGAAAATGAGGCCATACCCGAGTGTGTGGGTCACGGCATAAATGATTCTGATGGGTTTTTATGGCATACGTCACGGTCTTGGCGGGAGCGATATTGCGCAGTGGGCATGACTGGTAAAAGCAAGATGACAAGTTCTGTATGATCTGAGAATGATCTGGGTTGATAGTTCACTTTATCGTATTATACCTGTTGGGGACTTCAATTGTCCCAATTAGTTGCACCGAGTATGAGACATTAGTACAATTACGGACAAAGCTACGAATAGCTTTCAAATCATTTTCGAAATGGCGAAAACATATAATCTGATAGCGAGTATAATTTTGGTCTTATATAAGATAAACTCATTGTCGAACCATTGATAACATTGCTGGGAGTGAAACAAGCTGTCAGTTTTCTATCGAAACTACTACTCCATTGACGTATAGTTTTCGCAGGTTCTATCCTTTATCCCTCTGCAATGTGTGTGGATGTGGTGTTCAGTTAGTCTTTCTAATGACCATTCTCGATCATCCACCCATTTGTATCCCTTACGTCATAAAAATCTTAGCGTGAGCCGCACCGTGCGTGAAAGCCCACTTTCTCTCTGTTTCACTGTCGCCTAAACACACAGATATCGTGACCCATATGCAGTTAATCTTGTAATGCAGTCTAAGAATATCGGTCCTGGCCGAAGGACTCGAGTTCCTAGTTGGTAGAACTAATGACTTTTCTGTCAAGGCGAATAATAATATGACTATTTTATGGATTGTTTTTTAGGGTATTCATAAATCAAATGGGTATCAAGTGGGTAATAGCTTATTTTATGCTCGCTATCGTACGTTGAATTACAGATTACGTTGTACACAAAACATAATATGAAGCTAAGCATGCAGACCATTCCGTATTTTGTTGAAGCCCATGTTTAGATATCACAACAAAAAAAAAATACCCGACAGGACATGTTAATTAATTAAAAGTTTCTCATTTTCTCAAAAAAATCAAAGTTTACCGTTACTCTTAATAGCCCAATAACGGGAACATTGCGAGTGACAGTAAAATTCCATAAGGCAGCACATAACTAAGCCCGCCTAATGCTTCATATAAGACGTCAAAAAAGAATATGGTATATAGAAAATTCCGTAAAAGAAACACCGATATAGCTAGGCATCATATAGAATACTAAATTATTTCTTCTACAGCCATAGTATGCTACATGGTACACCTAGCTGGTGAGATTGGAAAAACTTCGGTCTTGATACAGCTCTGTGCTTTGATCTCCTATAAAATTTACTTATTCGTGTAACTGAAGGGTCTCAAAATTATTTCTCTTTTATGTTGTAGTTGGCTTATAAATACATATTGAATATATACTGACAATCAATACGACTGATGTGACTATTGTACAATTTATGTAAACATCAGCGTTTATAAAGCGTTATACCATACTGGCCATAAGAGTATGTCCTCTTATAGCCAGTATGGTGTTTAAGTAACGTTATCAAACTTGACAAGTTCTGTCGTTGTCTTTTATCAACTACTAAGCATTTTTTTTATTGAACATTTTAATGATGTGTGCTTCAGTCAGAAATTAAGGGGAGACCTCTTACCTTGACAAAATTGTGCACTCATATTCCTTTTTGCGCTCGTTGATTACGCAGGTATAAATGCTTTAACCATATCTTAATTTTACCCTAAGCAAAATGTTAGCATTTTCTCTCAACAATTTAACAAGCTTTTTTCCAGATTACTCCTTATCGGTTTGATTATTTTTTTAATTTTTTGAGAATTTTGAAACTATTTTCCCGTTGATATACTTCTGGCGCTATAGTGGAACCAGAAACGAAGATTGTGCTAACGTATGGTTCTATTTGTCAGGTAGTTTTTGCCGACGGAAACTTAAGCCATTAGGGCCAGTAGATGGTTGTTATTTCAGGCAAGCGATACCCTGCGAAGAAGGGCTTATAAAATTCAATGATGAGATCTTTTCCTCATGATGTAGCGAATTATCAATACATATTAAATATTAGACAAGAATTTATGTTTAAAGTAGAAACCTAGAAAGTAGTAAGCTAAGACTAATATTCGATCCAGCACTTGATATTAAAAAAAAAAATGTTTACACCAACATGTTAACTCTCTGTGTGTTTTGCCTTCTTGCATTAGACAGTCATAAGATTGCAAAGAAAAGAGTGTTTTAAATGTGTTGAGCATTACGCCTACAGCTACCGCTAAGCATTGCTTCAAATGCTAGTACAAGTAGAAGTGTGTCTACGCCCAATTTCAAACCCAGGTCACATCAGGTGACCCAACGTTAAGTGGGCTAACACATTACCATTACACCATCACGGGAACGTCGGGGTCGATCGGTGCAACGCGTGAAAAGACCCACGCCAGAAACGTGAATTTAGGTACCTCGTAAACTGCGTTACTTTCCGTTGTATTATATACCTATATCCGATACTTGTTTCGTTGCAAGTAAATTACCAGACACTTTGATTAGGCATAGCATTACTCTAATCAATCATTGACGCCCAAGGCAGTCAGTATTAACTATCACTACTACAGAATAGCTAGCTTCCTAGAAGTGTATGAGACTGTAATAAAAGATTCGAGTAGTGTTTTGCGATCGAGTAGTGATATTTTCTATGCACCTTTCAATACTACCTAATCCTGAGTGTTTAAAAACAGAACAAAAACATAGCAGGGCCAGAAAAAATACAAACAAGCCTACCAACTTACACACACGTCGAAGATTTTTAGTTGAATCGAAGGAAAAATGACCGCGATCCCGGGCGGTAAACATTGCCGGGATATAATAATCAGCAGCATCGGCTGGTCGTAAATGAAAAGACGTACAAGCTAACCGGATGATCACAAAGTAAAACCGATCTGACGGAAGAGATCAGTCAAAGAAACGGAGGCTTAAGGCCATAATAATTGTAAAAAAAAAAAACAGCTTAAACGAAGCACGCATTTTAATGGCTTTTCGGACGAGTTCAAATACCGCTGGTCAACTTAGTGTGAGTGCTTAACAGGTCCAGAATCTAGTGGCTTTTTTGTTGGTTTTTACAAGGCATACCAAGACTTGACGAATCTAGAGGTTGCCCGAAACAGCGTGGCAGCATCATAAACATTCACACTTTTAACGGCAAAAGGAACCCATAACTGCACCTCTTATCGGGTATGAAGGTGAAAGCTATGAAATAATTAGGCCTTCATCGTATTATTTGGTAAAGAAAAAGGACCGGGATCGATAGCAATTATCGTCGTGGGATGAAAATAACTTACGAAGTTCTTAGAAAAGTCCGATCAAAAACATCCGCGCTACACTGTGGTGAATTATTTAAGATTTTTCACAACCCAACCTTTTTGATCCAGCGGGTTAACACCTGCTAGACCAAAAAAACAGCCAGAACTTAGCGTTACATTTCGTTTTTATCCAACTAGTAGGCAGCCCGTATACAGGAAGTAGAATTTACGGCAGTTTAATTTTGAAGACAGTTCAGGCATTGTCTTCGTAGATACCACGAACTGTTTCTTCCAATATTAGAAATAAATGCTCTGGCAAGGATTATTACGGGTAGAGCACACACGTTTTTTTATCGTCAGCTGCTTACACTCACGCTAGCAATGAAAGCATCCTTCCAACAAAAACAGTGTTAATATTCCTTAATGAGCCATATAACCTACCTTCATGAGTAATGTGTAATGCCATATTAAAGAAACAACCCATTCACTATCGAGACGGATCAGCAAATCGTCTATCTTTCAGCAGAGTAACCATTCCGAATAACTTTACTATGTAGATATTTATCGTAATGAGAAACGTCTAGACCAATTGCCAGGCATACGTTAGTTTAAAATTATTTTTTTTTTTTTTATAAAATGACACACATTCTGTTTTTACATACAAAAAAAAGATCGTTTCTAGTTGGGTCTACTTTTGAAAAATAACTCACTCCTAATGAAGTTAAGTGCGTATTGGCTGCATTACTTTTTACGGGCAATATACTACATTCTTATAGATTGATAGGCCATATGATTCGTAAGCTCTCCATAATAAACGGTGGCAGTCTTGCATTTCCGGCCAATTAGGTTTAGTTCCAGTTCTATTGTCACTTGACGAGCATTTTCGATTTTCGGGTTGTGCAGGTCCTCGGCGATAGCTGCTAACTGATCAAGGCACACATTTCGCGGAAGAAGTATAGCCATATTCCTTGAAAACTGACAACAATGGCGAAGGATGGCGGCGTACGATGGTGTCATCTCACTAATATCGAAAATAGGCTTGCTCAGATATTCGGGACCGCCCCATGGAGGGCTAAACACCAAAGCGTCTATATCGCCAAAGTCCTCAGGACGCAGTTGAAATAGGTCTCCACAGCTGAAGGTCATTTTGTGTTCCACTCCATATAAAGCCGCCAGCTGCCGCGCGCTCGAAATCTGCAATTTCAAAGGGTTGAACGATGGACTACGGCATCCAAAAGAGTTATGCAGCAAATCACTATTTACATCCTTTTTTTACGACGTTTGCACGCGCTCTTAAAGCTATACTGCAATACAGACACGACTTGATCGAAACTAAAAAAAATATATCTGTAACTTCGAACGAATATATAGATTTACGCTTTTTGCTCTCGACACGTACCCCATAAGCGGGCAGATTTCTTGCATCAACTTTAAACTTCTATACTGATTTAAACTTACTTTACACTTACAAACGTAAAAACTAACTTGCATCAACTTTAAATCATTGGCTGAAATTTTTTGATCTGATCACTTCGAGATGTACTTTCAAAAAATTACGTAATTTTTGAATGAATCCGAATTAAACTTCACTCTGATTAATATTATCACATACGAAATATACTACAACAGACGTTATTAAATGGTGAGACAAGCAATATGATCACATCCTTAGTTTCGCCCGCGGACAAGTCAACTTTCGCCAGACAGAGCGTGCTTTTCAAACTGTAAACTGCACACTATACGACCATAGAAAAAGTTAACTTAAGGGCATTGTAGAGTTGAGTGAAAAAATGACTATACTAAATAAGAAATAGTATAGTCAAGATGGTTGACCGAACGATTGGCGAAATATGCGGGAAGATCAGGCTCAACAGGAATCCTAACACTTAATCTTCGTAGATGTTATAGATAATTGATCATCAGAGATGTGCTCATCGCTGCCCGAAGTAATGTATTGCATACTTAAGCCATATAAATATCCGAACGTTTGCTACCATATCATAGCATCCTGCAGTATTAGATGATCTGATGATTCACAGGGCTACAGACTATCTGTGTAGATTTTTTTGTGAAGTTGCGAAATTTAAGCGTAATGTCCTTTCGATCAGAAAATACAAAATATTTAGTTTTCTTCTTTTTTTTTACACTGTTAGTTATTTTGTTCTGTGGAAAAGCACTGGGAATCACTTCGTGATAGGTATAGTTTAAGGGCATCATCCCCACTAGAGTTTAACCGTATTTGGGATTCCGTATTCTAACGTATTTGGAATTTTTCCAACAGACATGTAAGGCGACATGGCAACCATACAAGCAGCTATTAACCAGTAATTTATTTTCGTTAATCATTTAGTTCTTTTATTAATCTATATTATAATTATAGTAATAATTATAATGGCTTAAGAGAGTTGATTTAGTTTAATAGTTTTAGGTAGATTATTAATCTTATGTATCTTGTTTACCACCTAATGAATACATTTACTGATATTGATTTATTTCCATAAATTAAAATATTAATATTTCGTAATAGTCTGGCCAATTTTGCAATTTGAACCAGCGCGGCATTACACTTGTTATTGTTATTATGGCAACGTACGCAGAAGGATGCGCATGAGCCACGCAGACCACATCTGTCCCTGTCTACTTTCTCGTTTTGAAGGTTTTTCTTCGTTCATGGCTTTCGGCGCTTAAGACTCCTAGGACACTGCTTCCAGAAGTGCAATGATGTACCAGCGCTCTGCCTCGTAACAGCCACGAGTGCTCTACTGAATGTGTTTCTCGCATTCATCTTCTTGTACGAAATATGTTTTTTTCCTCGTGATCTGCTAACGGCTTGACGACTGAGATAGCACGCCAAAGGGAATATTCTATTCCCTTGTGGAAAGGCTTTCACAGAGACATTTCGCGACGTTCGATCATCTTCAAATAGAACACCTTTTTCCTACCCAAGCAAACGAGCAGAGAAACCTTCTTTCCGTGGATATTTTGCTTTGGGCAAAGTCCTGCTAGTTGGTTGAGTTCAACCCATGATCATAGAAATGAAGTACGAAATCCATTTCTGGTCGCCGTTAATACTTTGATGCACCGGACATTTTTGGTAAAAGAAGTTAGGGATAACACAATACCAGCTCATTCGGTTTCTGAAGAAATCGAAACCACAATACAAAATCTAAATGGAAATTTTTTTTATAGCATTAGCTAAAGTTTTTGAGCTCTAAACGCTTCAAGACGCTCAAGCTGCGTATAGTGATCCAGCGGAAAATTCTTTTCGATAAGTTCGACCAGTCACGTTCTAGTAGCTGCAACTCATGCAGATCCATCATCTCGAGCTAAATGATCTCATTTTATTAGACGGGTGATGGTGATTGAGCACTAATTTTAAAATTTAATTTAAATGTCTGCTTCATTGCTATTAAAATGTGAACGATAAACCATCCAAATATTTCAACATATGCAAAGCGACACCTTGTCTCAGAGCGCGAATATTGAGACAGGTGAAGCTTCGACCGAAAATGTGTTTGCGAATTATATATTAAGACGTCGCATAAGGAAGAACATTTTGAAGTAAAAAAGCCGTACCTCATGTTCCTCGAGATCATTAGCATAGACATGTTCGATTTCGGGCATCGTGGCGCACTGAACCGCATTACCCCCTGCGCCACAGCAAGGATCGATAATTCGTAAAGGGCGACCGCCTCGCGCTTTAGCCAGACCAACCACGCGTCGAGCGATGTGTTTGCCGATCTCCTCCGGACAAATTGAAAACCACGCTTCCTCACTGCGGATAAGACATAGTGCGGTTAATTCAACTGCAATACTGGAGCCCTGCGATATGTTGCAATTGTAGATAAAAAAAAAAAAAAAAAAACTTTGCCAGATAGATTGTGCAATATGGGTCGTTGTTGGCATACTTTCAATTAGAGCCTCGGCTGTGCGAGTCTTCGCGGCGATCAAGCCATACTGTCTAATAATATAACCGTGGGTTTGCCGAACAGCCAGACACGTACAACACCCCTTCACCGATACAGCGTGCATTACAGGCGCTCAAAATATGCGTAATTTATGCACGTATTATACAGTTCCGTCACTGTCATAAGTTTATAAATACGTCGAGTTTCGGTGTGCTTTGTTTAGAAGTTACTTTTATTCGCTCTTAATACATAAGGCGAATCTAAAGAATTAACACTTTTTTTGAGATAGTGCATTCGTTCGACCGTGAGAGATTATCTAGGATTCGTGATTGACAAGACGAGTGAAGCTCCCAAATAACTTTTGTTATAGTTATCCTTTGTTACTATTTCCCGAGACGACAGGAGATGTTTACCTTAAGTGTAGGTCATTCCGGAATCGCGATATAAGACGATATCGCTGGTTGAAGTATTTGGCTACTTTAGGACTAGTGCCTATTGTCCTATCAGACGTATTGCCGGAACATGCAAAATTGGCCTCGACAGGTTTGCTTTCGTTACCAGCAAAGGACTGTTGCTTGGGGTATAGTATCGCCTTCCTCTGCGTGTCATTTAGAAGCGCTCGACTCGGCGCACACAGGCCACAGGTTCGTAGGTCAAACCTGACCAGGGCACTGTAATAGGCGAAAAAAAACAAGAATACTCTAGGGTCGAATAATCAAAACCGAAATATTCGCCAGCCATTTTAACTGCACATTTCTTCACCAGAAAAAAAAAACTGCCCTTATAAAGCTATAACAGCTGTGTGCTTTACATAGCTTATCATTCAAAGTTTATTAACGAAACTTTTAGCATCTTCAGCTTGTATATTGATAAGTTGAGCGTATCCATATACCTTTTGTCGTTAAGCAACACTGCCATTTCACGAAGCATCTTCAATGTTGGCTTCCTTTCCACGCAATTAAGCGCGCACTCTGCAGGCACCATTTCCGCTGCGTGGAAGAACAAACATTAATTTCAATTTTTACACCAGAACATTCACTCCTAAATACACGTATGTATACACATAATGAAAAAGTAATCAATAAAGGCTACGGATGCACTATAATTCTTAATATGGACGACATTTATGTTCGATATTGACTGCGGGAGAAAGCATTCCTTGTGGGAACGAAAGTAAAACATTTGTCGCTATTCAGATAGCATTTCCGTACTATTTAAACAGAAAGATTGAAGACGTTGTTTTAACACGTCTTCTTTCGGCAGCGTAGCGATATAGCGGCTTGGTGTATCGTTGTCGTAGGCTGACCTCGCGTTCTGCAATCCCTATTCGAACACTCAATATTACTAAAACAGATATATAAGTAAGCTTGATTGTTTAACAACAATTGTCAACACTTTATAGTAAGGACTTATTAATATAAAACAGATTACTTAAACGCTTATCCGGCTCGGTAATCTTTGCAAGTTGACTTCAGTACACTTGTCTGTTGCCCGCCTAAGTTCCTCAAAGTTATTATTGTATAAGGTATTAAGCTTCTTTTGAAGGGTAGTCGTTTTCAAGAGAAGCTGATTTACCTGCTGTATCTGCTCTTCCTTTTCATATATCCCTAGTTTACAAGGAAAAGGTTGTGGTTCCACCACATCGGAAGATCGCGAGACTGGAGTGAGCTGACCATCCGGACCAACATCACAGGCCAACAGAATTCTGCCGAGTCCTTTAACAGCGGTACTTTTAGTGGAAGCAGTGGCTTTCTCGCTAATGCAGGCTTGATTAGATGTGTTAGGGACAAGCATCCGCTCAGATGGGGACGTGTTGCTGGTGCTATCACCATTGTTATTAATAGCGCTATTGTTATTATCGCTGTGTTTTTTCTTAGAATAATAGTGAAAAAGTGGGAGTCGTGGACAGTCCCCAGCATGTGACCGACTAAGGACAAAGCGAGTTCGACCACACGAACCCGTTGCAACCACACGATATGGTGGCGTACCCGAGTCAAGTCCGCAAAGAAAATACGAAAAACCTGCTGCCAAACACCCTCTGGAAATAATGGAGGTCACTTTAAACGTACTTGTGTATTTTATGCATAACTTTAGCAATTTGTGGCCTTGCATGAAGGTCTTTTCGAACTAGGAATAAATTATTTGAAACGACAATGCATATCAGAAGCACTATACAACGATCGTCACGAAATTTCAAATTCTTACCTATGTCCAATATGTTCAGGTTGGAATGCAGAAATGAAAACCTCTGCATATTGTGTCCCCATGACAATTTTGTAAGCGCCTACAAAAAAACAAACAGGTCACAGAGCATATCGGACATTCAGACATATATTAAGGTTTTTTCGGCTCGTTGTATGAATGTTTTTACCTGTTAAGAAAGTATCAAACAAGTCTTTAAAATGTAATTTCTCTTAGAAATGTTACAATACATTTTGCTAGTAACTTATAGAGGAAAATTAGTCACTAACTTCTATCTTTCTTACGGTCAACGATAGAAATAGAAATTAACGAAGAACACAAAGTTTCAATGTTAAATTGCTACGAGCAAGACGTTTCTTGTTGAAATGATCTATCAAGTATAGCAGTGCCAAACATCGATTTAATTGTTTCCACTTCTCCCTATCCTAACTTTCTATCTATCAAAAAAAAGTTTTTTTTTTTTTGCATATAGTACAAAAAAAGTAAAATACGCTTTTACTATTCTTGTACTTTATTTGCCTTAAATCCTAAATACTACGATTTGTAAACGATCTAATTCAACTTTCTGTGTTTGATTGTTTTGCAATGGATGAACTTTTTCACATGTAGCTTACCGTAAAAAATGTTCTGTAAATTACCGATAGTAATAATTTTATGATACAATTAGCAACGGCAGTATTTTCGAATGAGGCTGACACGGCGATCCGTAGCTTAGTAAAACAATAAAACAAAAAAAAACCGAATAACTTACCAGCCTTAGCAGCAGCAGCTGGGAAAACAATCCCTGGTTGACCCTGATTACCTTGTAGAATCTTTGCATCTGTAATTATCTTGTAAATGCGCAAAACTGTCTCCATTGCGGCTAACGCTAGCCCACCTGCATTTTGTATTCGAAAAATATCTATATTAGAACTCACTCTATTGATCTTTGACTCCATGAGTGCAGTTTTCGGGGTAAAATTGTTTGGATCTTGTTCTGTAAAAAAGGTAGATTTCTGCTCTTGTTTTTATTGGCCAGGACGCATTTCACGTGAAAAGTCGGTGTCCCGCGCACACATAAACAAACACTCGTTTGTTGCAAATGCAATTAACAATCTCATTATTTTTTTAGACATTGCAGCACATATAGAGTACCCATTGTTTTGTACAACCCAGCATAAGCTTAACATAATAGCACACGGGAAGTTGTTACACGCTGCCGTACTTTACTTACACTAGGTCTGCAGTTATTTCTTTATTAACAGCACTGCAAAACTCAGGACGAATGTTTCGCAAGATTAGTATGTCGTCTGCCCGGTAATGGCAAAGTATTGCGCAAAATACATGACAAATACGCTCGTAAATTTATGGAGTTATCCAGTGATCTGAAGCACGAAAAACCTTAATAAACAGATTGAATTTTGAAACTGCAAAAACTTTGTGGCACTAGAGCGACCGCCGAAGTAAGTGGCTAGGCTGCATGATGCTGCACGCAGAACAAACATGGGGACCTTCATCCAGGCTCATATGATACTCATGCACGAACTCTAAGACGTGCGTTTGAGCCGAACGGCGGATTGTAGCTGCCATTTCCGAATAATACCTCGTTGTAGTGTATAGTCCTTGTCAAAGATCCTAGATCTCGAGAAAATTTAGCTTTCGATTTCTAGGTAACTCGCTTAACCATGTATTTTTAACCGTAAGATAAATGTTTCAAGTTTTACACCCTGAACGGCGTAAGCATTACAGCAGATGGTTGACCACCAACATGAAATATATATGACTGTTCCAAGATTTGCACAATATATTAACTTTACCCTAAGTTTTGTAGCCTGGCACGTTGCCGCTACAGTATCGCCTTGACCTATTTTCAAACAGCACAAGGTTTTCAGCTGACTCGTCAAGGTTTCCTTGTCCTATTTATGACTCAAATTATCAGAACTACTCGTGCAATGATTCGCTTTCGTCATATAGCCGCAACATTAACTTTCCAAAATGTTTATTAGTTTTTGTTTTTTTCTACCCGCAAATAGGCAATTGAGGACATTGACAAACTATAATAAGAAACTGATCCATACGCTTGTGTAACATGCCCCTATCCGAATGTTAACCTCAGCGTCTAGCTTGTCAGTAAATGCATTTGGCGGGCAACAATCTTACATGTTAGTTCTATCCTACATAAGTGTAGTGTGTAATAGTTGCCTATGTAAAAGGTTCTCCTCTTAGTCGGTTACCTTTTGTTTCATCATTCAGGTAACTATATCTGGGTGATCGATTATCTTTGGTAACAACTATATTTGTAGTGAATATATAAAGGACCGCCGCGCTAAACGTTGCAAGTCTGCCACTAGAGAAGTCTAGAAAATAGACTTCTGTAATAAAGAATAAATAATAGAATAAGCTAGTTTTTTTTTTCTGTTTCCCATTTTTTCTCGATTTTTTTAGAGTGATTAGGCCTTAAAGCTGAGACTGGCATGTTGCCAAATTATCGAAAACATCAAAAAAAAAAAAACTCAGAATGGGTCAATACGGGACATAGATATTAAAAGCAACTTCAGTTTTTTTTTTGCCGAAAAGGACTTTTATAATGTTTAGTGCAATTATCATTACCGAACATTCGTCGTATTACACGCCACCGTAATTAGCAACGTGTCGTACGTCATTGTTTTTGAATGGTATATATGGACCACTTTATTAGCGTAGTAGAGTTTAATAATATTGTCGATATATACAGCACACGACGAAAAAAATCACGATCGCAAACTTGTTATTTATACTAGGTATACATAGTTCCAATATTTTGACCGGTTCTAATGCGGTTAGAATGGTTTTAGATAATGATAGGCATATCGTTATTATTCCTTTTAGTTCTCGAGAAAAATTTACGCTGCACAGCAGGACTTCATGTGAGCCTACGGCAACCTAATTTTAATCCTTGATCTGTTTAGCTTGCCAGTAAGTAATCTCAGGCCGTTCTAGAAAGAAAGGCGTTTTCTCTTTGGTTTTATTAAATGACTGATTTCCTTGCCTGAAATCACTAATTGTCCATATGATCCCACCTCTGACGCATATATTCCCACCTTGTGGAACTGCGCGGGCCAACGACGATCCAATGGGCAGATTTTCAAAAATGAATGAATCTACCCATTTCTCACTACTTAGAACACATAATAGAAGAATCCTTGCTGAATGCACTGATCTACTTGTGGCACCGAATTTTTCAACAAACCCATTAGGAACGACAAGCCCCCTTTGCCTTACATTCGAATGTGTATGAGTAGTTCATACTTCGTGTACGGAAAACATTATTCTAGTTTACGATTGATTTCCTTTGCCACAACTTTACAGGATAGGTCCTCGATGTATGCTATCTGATCGTTGGGGGCATTAAAGGATTCAGAAATCATATGTGTACGGGGTGCGTAATGGAAGTTACCGGTCGATTTGGTATATGTTTTCGCTGGTAAACGATTAGAAATTATAGGCAATAAATATGGCGACAGTGTGCTCTGCAATAATGGAAAATTACGGTTCGAAACAACATTCCCATTGACGAAGGAGACACCAAAGCAACTGACCATTAAATCCGAATGTATTGACTTTTTAACAGATTAAGTGAAGCCAAAAAGATCTTGAACCGATGAATGAGCCACAACGTCGTTGTAGTACGGATCAGCACAGATGTTGATCCGACGACAGTAACACGACGTAATGCTAAGGACTCGAACAATTGAAAAGCACTCTGCGACTAATTTCGAATCAGAGGTTAGACCAAAACGAAGGTATTGGATGTAAACAACGTTTTCTGTTAACAGGACAGAGCGCCTGCTCTGTTGCGCAGGACATAATCAAGTTTCTTGAAGCTATGGCAGAGTTCACCGTTGTACGACGGTACCGATAAATGGTCTCCCCAATCTTATGAGTGGGCTTTCCTCAGTTTATTATGACAAGCGATCTAAAATACAAAGTACATATAACAACCCCCGAAAGCAATACACGACGTGAAACACTGCATTCGTGAAGTGATTGATGAAATGCACGTTAAACTATGCAAAATTACGCGAAAAAAAAGTATTGAAAAAAGGTGAGCCTTGGCAGGACGTTGAGTACAAACTAGACCCCCTGGGCTGGGCTAACAGGAATAAAAAGCACGCAGAGAAACTTGCCATTGTGCTTCATTACGGGAATATTGAAACTCAAAATCGAATTATACCCTTTCGTTCCAAAATTTTTCGTATATGCTCTGATAACTATAATACTTGAAACCGCTAGCTAATCCTAAAGCGCTTTGCGAAATCGAAGCACATCCACCTACACCCCACCAACGGGATCGATGAACCGCAGGAGTGGCTCATCTCATAGCATTGATGGCGTCAGACCATTACGCCTTTTTTTGACCAACCGGTCATGTTGAAGTAGACAACAAATTTCGGAGTGATTGCGCCAGTTTGATAATCAGGGTACACGAAAACCGGTGAACTGCGAACCGCCAAGTCATAGCCCGGCCCCTTCAAGTGAGTCACCTGTGGAATAATGTGATCATGCATTGCTTGTAACGATTCTGTGGAACTAGAACTTATATGAAGCTAGGTTTGACTTCACTAAGTGAGGATCAATATAGCGTCCATTGATAAGTTGTAGCGTAATTTTACTAGAATTTGGCATTTCTGCAGCAAAGCCTTTGAATATAGATTAAGTAAAATTTGGCCAGCTTGCAAAACGAACGATAAAATTTATTCCACATTATCACTAAAAGCTGTGACAATATGTATACCAATAGATTATTTAATAGATTACAAAAAAAGATTCTCGTTTATTCTCGTAAGAATTGAAGAATGAATTTACCTTCGCCATCCGAGTTTCCAAATATGGGTTTTGTATAATAGGTTGATTCCATAGAGTCGAGCTGAACCATAATGATGCATAGGGTGCAGCATCCTTGGGAGGTTTTACATTTTGCTGATTATCGCCATTTGCTTCAGTGAGCGTCCGCTGTTCTAATATGGTACGAATTTGAGTAGCTTGTGCCAGGTATCGACTACCTTTTAAAATATCCTTCACGCCACGGAAAAGTTGATTGTACTTGTTTTGAAGTCCATGCCTGCCTATTTCCACCACTTCATTAGTTTCGTCACCCTGTTTTTGTGCCGGCGACAAAATTGAAGGAACGAATGCATTGAGGTTTTTTTTAATCACAGGTCCAAATGCACAAGGTCTCCCAATAATATTCGGCACCCTGAAAAAAAAATACGATTGATCGACCTTACTAACATTTGTCGGTACGTATATTTAATAACCACATCGAGGTGCTGCAATGGCAGAGTGAGACCCAAACTCCATGCTTATTTAGAGATTTTCTAATTGTATATAAATAAATCAATAAAGTTCTTATTATCAGTCTATTGCAGTTTCGTTTGACGAATGTAAGCATCGTTTTAGTGCTTGCAAGTTGTAATTTATTCGAGACCGGCCCTCTGGCGCCATCGACGATACGCTCACCGAAGTCATATTAGTGCTGGTAGATTTAAGCAGTTGCAAACACTGAGATATTAAATGATTACCCCACGTGAAAGATCTTCTAAGCAACAGTACCGGTTATCTACCAATATTAGATCCCCTTAAAATCTGCAAGTTACTAGTTTACCGATGAGCATATAGAAATGTATAGCTGGATGATGAACCACGGTGTTTCCGAACGTTAAGTATTTCATAGGACCTTATCATTACCTTCCTTTAGATTTTCCTTTAGATTAGAAGGGCGATCCATGTTATCGTTCATATGTAGAGAAATTGCCCACAAATGGCTAAAGATGCAATTAGGCGTTAGGCGCATTTATTTTTTTTTAATTTTACGTGTAATACACACACACACACACACACACATTTCGTAATGAGCATGAAGAAGATCTGCACCTATCAAAAACGTTCTCACTCATATAGAATAGACCGGACATTTGGTGAAATCTATCTCTAATGTTTTTGTTTTTTATTTAACAAACCTGGTTTTTTCGCATTGCGATAGCTGGCAATAGCCAAAACCGCTAATAGCACACAGCAAAAAAGAAATAGATTGTGTACATTATCGCGCAATAGGCGAGAGGTCGACGGACGAGCAGTGATCGCGTTTAGCTACCATTGCTACTCTTCGCGGCCAAAAATGAAGCTCAAATTGCTGGTCATGTCCTGTCGATAGGCCTGTTGATCGTATTTAAAACGGATTTAGTTCATCAAAGTACTGATATATTTTGTTTCTTTCCGTTAACCAATGTCGTCAAATCGCCAGTATTGTTTAGAGTTCTCCTAAAGACCCATATTGTCTCTTTCGAAGTGGCGGAATCGTGACATAAAAATAACTTATAATCCTCAAAATGGTCCACTTTAAATAACTTACAGCAGGACTAGGTAGGTTATTTGAAAACGAATTGCAGTCGCGGAAAACTTGGACGACAGTCTCTATCTATAAAATCTATGAAGTTGTTTGCAAAATTGAGCGATATAATTAATGATGATAATCTATACAATTATCGGCGATTTAGATAAAGAACGACCTAGATGGTTACGCGCCCTAGTTTACAAAGATACAACTGCGTTATAGTGCGATCACTACAGATAGCTGATAAAACCTTTCAGATTCGATATTTGTAAGAGAATTTTCGTGCCACAAACTTACAGGTAGTAAAGTAACACATAGACGTTCGGTTTCTCCAATGTTTGTAGCGACATCGGGGGGGAGGATTGCAGGACTGAGAGATTTTTAATTACCGTGTTTCTATAGCTTGGTGAAGAAACACTAGGACATGATTGTCTTAAGCTCGCTGACAGGTTTACAAAGATTGGCATTCGGGATAAACACACGTACCAAGATAAAGGCCTTTTATCAGCTTCCTCAACGATCATAATGTGGTGTGCCGATACATATAGCCATATTACAAAAGCTATACGCAATTAAAATAGCTATAGAAATTTGCTTGTTTTACAGGACACGCATGAGCAGACGACAGGTATACGCCGAAGACTGTTTAAGTAACATACCGAGTCGATTCACATACGATAGATTAGTGCGGTCAGTAAGAACTCCAGCGGTACATTTCATCCGTATTCCGAAATACGAAATCACTGCTTGTCCTTTGTCCGAATAAATCCAGGGAGTGCTATGTCCACGAAAGCGTTGTTCCTTTGATGCTTATCTATTTAATTGACGCCCAGCATCGCATGAAACGATATCGTATGGACGGTAGCTATAACGCTGCAGAAGCACTGCAAAAAACAGGCGTTACCAATTGTTTACTTTTATCACCGTATTTTCATACGTATATTGAACCACACGGCTCAATAGGCGCTCTGTGTTCCGACTGGCTGGACAAAGTGTTTGTTAATATTATCCTTCAATAAAACAGTCAGTCTGTCCTTTAATTGAGACCTTATGCCTGGTCAGGTACACACAGAATAGCATTTGTTTCGAGTCGGCCCCACGGAACGCAATACAATACAGAGCAGAACAGCGAGCATACCGTCACGGACGGGCGTCATTTTGCCTGGTTAGCAAAAAAAACGGCCCAGGCCGTTTACCTGCTGTGCAGCTCTGCTTACCGGTGTGTTTATACCTAATAATTAGTAATAAAACAATAATCACGGCAGTCCTAGAAAATACATTGTCAAGTGATGAGATTAAACGAGAGAAACATAGATCTTCCTTGCCGCTCACGTCTATATTACGTAACTGCTGTGCGCAATACTTAATTTCTAGCGCAGGCAAAAATCATATCTGTTCATAATGCGAAACTGCTTTACGTGGCTCATTTCAAAAGAAAGACGACGTGCTGCGGTGTCCCGGATGACATATGTAGACGTATGGCTATTAAGCTCTTGAATAGAAAAGGATTTCTCTAACGAATCCTAAGATTTTTTTGTAACGGTCTTTTGCTATTTTAACAGAATAACAAAGAATGACCTCTATTACACTTCTCATAAGTTCGAGAATATAACCAATCTTTTATTGTTTATTTACTCTCACCTTGCCGCGACATAATGACTGCGAGCTTTTATCTAGTTATTATTACTTCTCCAAAATTGCTGGACTCGCGTGCAGGTGTTATCTAACAGATTCAGCTGAACTTAACTAGAATTATTATGACGAAAAATATAGAAAAAGATAAAGTAACCTAGAACAAAATGAGAACCTTTCAATTTGTTTATAAGTTAGTCTTTCTACTTTAGGGATTAGCAAAAGCTACTAGGCGACATGTCGCTTCGTACTGAGGTCTACTGCAGTATTTCGAAATTCTGCCTTCTCCTAGAAAAAGCGCGAACGAATGGCGACAGTAGTAATAATACATACATTCGAAAATTTGTAAGTAGTTCGTATTTTGAATACGGTTATATTTTATGATCTAACGAATTAGTTCATTGAATTCAGAAGATTATCAGATAAATTTGTCACAACAATTTGAGACGATCCGTGATTGGATTGATCGTGCCACTTGTACAGACTGTAGTAAAGTATTTAGCTTACATCGCATGAACCTTGCAGCTTTTCAGTAAAATGGTAATCAAACAGAAACTGCAGTTTAAATTACTACCCGAGCCAGTTACGAACGCTGACGGTTAGGAATCTTTGTTACTCGGTAGGTTGATTTTCGCCAAACACCAGTAAATCGTACCTGGATCGCATTTTGTTTTTTAAAATTTTAAAGTATGTTAGGTAATTCTGAATTAGGTACATTTTCAAACCGTAGTTTTATTATGAATAGCTATTATTTCCATAATATTTCTATAATGTTTGAATCTTGAAATTTGCGTTCATACCACTTCTACTTACCCCTTACCGGTGGACCGTACGTTGTAAAACGTTTATATCTTACTAAAACAAACTGAGCCGTTACAGAGTTGGTTGTAAGAACAGAGTCGTGGTACTTACGTACGCAAGCTGGGTTCAGCATTAGCTGAACGCTGAGTAATGCATTCCACTCCCAACGCTGAAAATATATTGTATGATGACCTGCTAATTTCTTAGCCTAAAAAGTGGAATGGCAATTTTCAAAAAGTGTGCATGATTATCAGGCGAGCATTTCAGGGCATCGGGATAGCCAGTTTGCTTCTCTGCTGTATAGCCCAAACCGTTATTTCTTTCAACACCGCAAAAAGGGTTTGTTTTTTTCTTTATTAGTATTTTTATAGCAGATAGTGTATATGGCTTATTTGTATAGGGAAAACTAGAACTGTGTTGCATAAACGTACGAACTTAAAAATTCTAACTAGTTAACATTTTGAAAAATGGTAGACATACTCTGTGAGATACAATCGTTAAGGTGGCTATGAAAGCGGTGAGCCTATAGGTAAATCTGATTGCCTCTACAACAATGTAAAACTATTTCTCTTATTTAAGTAAGTATTAAACTTGTGTATATACGCTTATGAAGAATGACGTGTACACATATTACATATTGATTAGATTCATCCTCTAGAATATGGGGGCCCTCGTTTTTCACGATGGCAAGCTTTTGGACGCGTAAATTTTATCCCGCTTACTTGCAGCCTCAATATGGTTTATTGTAAGCATCAGATAAAAGGGGGAAGAACTCCGATAATTAGTCGAACTGCGTATCTGCTTACCCATTCTGTTTTCAAGTAGTTATCATATGCAGGTTTATAATGTTCTTACCGGGATCAATGTGCCACGATAGATTACTGAGCGTATTCATGAGGTTTTCATATCGTAACACAACAAGGCCGACCCCCCTGCAAAACATCAGACAAACAAAAAGCAACTGTTAGGTACTCAGATGCTGTTGACAATTTGCTTATCAGCTGTAGCAAAATACGAAATGTATATGATATTTTATATCCCAATTCAATCGGCGCTCACTGCAATAAATTGCCAACCCCGAGACGTTTAGTTAGTCGTACGGTCCATGACTAATACAGTGTTATTAATTCTGTATTCTTGTAAAAAAAAATTATCGCTGGACACGCCCCAAGGTCGTATACATATATTTGGTTCCGCTCAACAGTAACGATTAAAGGTTTCTATCTTGCTCCTACATCAACGCTATCATTATAGCTCTGGTTTTTGAAGGCCCTAACGGCTATGCCCTCACCGTCATTATACTTTATGGTGTTTCTGAATAGCAAGGACCATTCAGAGTAATGAGCCCTGTCGATATCCGGAGTAAAATCGCTACATTATTGCAGATTGTTGGGTAATGTGAAATCTATACAGGCCTGTTTTTCTGGCCTTAAAGCTGATATTAGCAACCTGCCAAGGATAGTACCATCCTTGGCAGGTTGCTAATATCTAGATCTAATTCTTAGTGGACGTAGTTTAGACATAAGATTCACTTATATCTCGAAACAAGAATCGGAAACAAATACCTCTTTACAATCACGTCTTACATAGTAGAACAGAATCGATCTGATCAGCGCATGCGCGTCCTAAGTTAGCTTTATTTTAATCATAGCCGTTTGAATGAATGCGTATAGCTATTATAAGCCAGACGTATCGCCTTAGAATAATGAGTGTTCTTAGATCATCAGTAAGTTCCGCATTTAAAAAGTACGATCGTTACGTTTTTCCTTAGATCCATCGACCGTGCACTGCATACACTGCACTTCTTAAATTATATATATTGTCTCTTTCGTTCGTTATAGAAATGCAAAGGGCTTGTTGGTCCTTATGGTGAGTAGGAAAAGGCAAGGCGCAGGGTAAATAATGCTTGATAAGGCTGAACAGCCGAACAGACAGACAGGTCCCTTCCATACTGACCTGAAGTTTTACCTCAACCCTGAATGATTTGATTCTAAGTGGACGCTGTAATGAGGGTACAAATATATATGTATATTGGCTAACTTAGCGAAATTTTTTTTAGCGAAAAAACAAACAGATTTTATAGGGCCAATAGCAGCACATTCTATTTTACTGCTGACCAAGCGATACACTCACTGTTAGTTGTACAAGTATATTTCTGGCTCTGGATTTCTGGCTTATCACCTTACTATCAGCTCTCGTACGCCACATTCTATCAGCAGGCGTTCGTTTTACTCGTCATTCATTGAAAAATAATTGCAACGAAAATGACGACTTTAATTTTATGTTTATCGTTAATTAGTAACTAATAATTATCATTGATACTAACCTAATTTTCCTTTTAAAGGGGATGCAGGTTTCGGTATTAATCATTAAAGATCAAGCTCGTAGACGACCTAGCGATAGTGCCATTGAGGCAGTACTTCGAATTGTATGCAAATCAAAATGCTTGTCAGAATATTGCCTGCATAGACGACATATATGTGAGCAAGTCATCTGTTTTTTCTACCATATCATTATAAATGTATAGTATATCACTGTAGTTACATATACTTAAGCCTTTGCAGAACGTATGGCTAACTAAGTAATTAAATTATTATAGGCACTGCGGAACCAAGTAAGTCCTGCTCGAGATCATAGAACACATGCAAATTTGTTGGAACATAAAAATCACAGTCACAGATACGATAATTCTTGGATCGGTAGCGGTATAATGGTATGTTTATTATTGTTAGGACTATATTTTAAGACCAGTTTTTTTTGGCACAAGAATATTTTTCGTTTTCCTTTTTAGCAATATAAAGACTAAGGAGTAAATAGAAGATTAGCTGCATCAACGTATATCAGTACTTTAATATTTATAGACTGTTGTCAAAGGAAAGGGTCTACGCCTACTGAAAGGCCACAGCGTAGGCATGATGTTCAGGCTTAACGAAGAAGCCTAAGGCTTACAGAAGGTAAAATGGACAAATGTAAACGCTTTCCAGTTTCTTCTCGCTTTACGATTCACAAGAAAGGGTACGATTCGACATACCCTGACTGGCGATGAAGAACAGATTTCACTGCTACTGGGGATACGAACATGTCTCCGAACATTCCGACAGGCGTACTCAATGTCCTTAACTGTTCCACGCAAATTTTCAAAGATTCATTACAGTTATACATAAATCATATGGCCGTGCTCAACTCCAAACTAGATTTTAGAATTGTAAGCGTGTGAAACTGGTTATAGCTTATCGGCAGTTTCCTTGATTTTCATATAAGTACTTGCATGCCTCTGAAAACTTCTAAAGTGAGTTGTGCGAGACAAACAAAAAAAAGAATCAAGCTATACCATTATAAGCACCGACACACAGAAGTGCTATAACAGCACATATCGGGCAAGTGGCTGATAACGAGTTCTTATGCGTTGGTAATGCGGACGGCCTGCAGGCCGTTGTCGACATGTTCTCACCTTGAAAGTAATTGACCAATCTGGACCCTTCAACCAATATCAGATTTATTTTTTTAATATATGTGAAACAGTTTGTTCTATGCGAGTCGTTCAGGTTTTTAACCTACGTTCAATCTATTATAAATCCAGGAGGAAACTCCGAGAATTAGTGCACATAAGCGATAACTGTTGACTCTGATAGAAATAACCTTTTGATCTATAATCCTTACCATTCAGCAAAAGACTCTAGCTGATGGGAATGTAAAAAGTTTGGTTGTAGAATAAGATCGAAAAAGGAGTCTGTGCGCCGATTATAACTATTATTTCGGTCGGAAGAACGCGCAGTTTGTGACACACTTATTAACGGCAGGCGCCTATCTTACCACCGCAAAAAGAACAGCCTGTAAGTTTTGGAGCTAATTTCAATTTACAAAAAGAATGAATAGCGGAAATCTGCTGAGTGAATGTTATAATTTCGAAACTTTTCGATATACATTTGCGCTCCACTCCCTTCCCTAATTTACTGCTCTCTCGTCAAAACTTACGTTTTAAGCAGACTTGGTATAAGAAGGTAGCACATGCGATGACTGTATCATTGACAAAAGCTGCAGTAGCACTCGCCGGTCCATTGGCGGAAAAGTTTATCCGCATCTTTTCCCGTACAATTCTTTTGCACGATAACAGTGACAACCCTGACCCTGAGCGGTCTGCACGCTAGCTGCCAACCGTGTATTTAATAGCCTGTTCTACTTATTTTCGTCTGGTATTAATGTTCTGTTGTTTGTACGATATTTTCACAGATAAACTATTAATTCTTTTAGCAACATTGTAATGCACGCGCGTGCACACAAGACGACGACACTCGTTTCTCTACGACTGCTTCAGCTGTTGCTGCTACAGCTTCTGCTATTGTGATGACTGCGGACAGAATCACTCATTAACGTCACGTTTCTCGCGTCTGTACGGGATCGCAGCTGTGTTTCATGCGCAGACGAGCGACTCGAGTGTCCGCCCCTTCGTTTGCCGTCTGCGTCGGTTGTTGCAGCTAGCGGCGAACAGCAGCGACAATGATTCCGCAGTGGTTTGTATTGGCCTACACTGCTCTTGCGGCAGTTACTCGACGCGTCCATTGCGGCACCAAGGGCGGTTTCCAAAGTAGGTGGCTGCAGTAATCGTCGCCGCTGCTATTTGTGAGTGAGTGCAGGACCATTATGAAAGGGCGCAGCGCATGTCGTCTCTGTTAGTTGAAGACGGCACTGCCGCAGGGATTAGGAAATGCCCTGTGACAACCTTTCCACAAAACGCGCACACAGCCATACAGAACCATATTTCCTTTTATCCAAACAGTTATCTACCTGGCGTAATATATGAGCGTACGATACAGACTGGACGTTACCGCGCGTATATACACACAAATGCAATAACAACAACAACGTCACAGCAGCAGTAATCCGGGTTGGAATGTATATAAACTGGGCGGTATTCGCGCCTCCCCACCGTCGTCGTCGTCGTCGTTGTCGACGGTTAGTTATGTTAGCCATTTGATGGCGCTAAGGATTATGAAGGTACGCGGAACGTAAGGGTCGATGGAGTAGGATTGATCTGCACTTTTCTGTATTTTACTGTTTACATATAAAAGGCAAGATGGCCTAAACACAACGTCGAGTAAACGCTGTAAAAGAATTATTTCTTCGCGCCCATAGCCGGATGTCATTGAAGAGCCCTGAAGAGTCGCGAAGGGACACTGACTGAGCGCATTCATTTCGCCAATGTCGCAACATAGGCCATCTTAAAAAATCCGTATCTTATCTTTAATGAAAGACACCTGCGAGAATTACACAGTTGTATTACTAAAACTCTATATATAAAAAATGAAGGTATGTTGCATATTATATGATGACATTTGCTGTGTCTCTTGAAGCACAAATGTTAGTAGCTATCAAACGTGCAATAGAGAAAAAGGACTACCGGTGAAGTTTCTTAGAAGAAAAAAACGAGAATACAGCACTTCGTATAATACTAGAAAGGCCTACAAAATTTGATCATGATGGTTGCGGAACGAACCCTGAGACAAATAAAAAGTGCCAGGTTTACCGACCATTCAGAAATTGTGAAAGCAAGGAAGACGTGGGGTACGATTACTGCCCAAAAAGATCTACTGGACGAAACCGACATGTTATCGCTTAATCATCGCCGTATGGGCGAAACCATGCGAGAGAGAGAGAGAGAGAGAGAGAGAGAGAGAGAGAGAGAGGGAGGAGGCGTGGCCTTCGTTATCGCGACTCGTTCTTCTATTTTGATTCGTACACTCATCTACAGATGGTTGATATTCCAGAAGGTGAACAGACGCGTAATACTCCTGGCGTCCGTTGACATGCATAAATGTCATTGTCCTGCATTGGCAGATAGTGTGCGTCAGACACACTTCGCGCAACCTATTCGTAGACAGATAACTTCATCTATGCAGTTTTTCTGAACTGTGCTACCGACTGAGCTGCAAGAACCAAGAATCGATATCTCAATCTGTAACGCTCGTAAACGAGAACTGCTTCAGACTTGAGAGTTTGGGCTGGAAAAGAAAAAGGCTTTTGTACCGGTTACAGATGACAGGGGGCAACCGGGTGACACGCGCAAACATGAAAAACCTTTCTAAACACTTTCAACTCGGTAATTCTAAGCCATTCCTACGATTGCTAAATACAACTTGTTTATGAACACATTGTAAATTGGATATTAGTGATTTATATAATTATGTATATATGCACCGGTATTTTAGGGAGTGCAAGTAAACTCCGTTGGGCTTTTATTATAACTACACTGCGTAATCACTGAAGTGTAGGCGTAAACGTGAACAGCGCGAACAACATAGATAATGTATATGTCATTGGCTGATACACTAAAATTTCCTCTCGCCGGAACCTTCAAAATTTGTTTCCTCATACACAACTCACAATCGGGGCGCAAGTTGCTATACTGCCGGAAATCCGGTACTGCATTAAATGACTATTCAATCACAAACAACAAACGATAAAATTAAAAAATGGGTTAGTACTATATTCAAATTCAATCTCGAGCAATGGGTTGGGTTTAAATTCACAACGCTCATCATTCTTTACTTTCAGCATTTTCAGTTTTGCATATATATTTAGAAGTATAAATATTTAGCCCTTTATAAGCATTCATTTGTCTTCCAGGGGAAACTATTATACATTTTATAAATCGCAATGGTAGTTTTTCGGTAGGTATGGTTGTATGAATGCTCTCGGCCCATCGTAGGCGCCCGAGTGCCCTTTTTGAGACGTTTTATTTAGTTGCAGATTGTGCACGACAAATGAATCGTTTCGTTCGAAAAATGTTTATTTACGCGCCTTGCAGCTCAAACGAGACCTCCTGCTGAGTAAATGAGTCCCCAGTTAAGCGCTTGGCCTAGAGGATCTCAGCATTCTATTTATCCGAACGCAACAGGATATTTGCGCGTGCCTAATGCTCTGTGCCTATCCCCTTGAAGTATGGCCTTCTGCAGTGACGATATCAGCGCCCTAAATTGCTCTCCAAAACAGGCTCGCTCTGTAAACACACTAAGCGTTTCAGTAGTACGCACTTGGGCATCTATCGATAGGGCTCAAGTTGTATATGTTCGGAAATAAGCGAAATACTACATATCGTGAAGAGATAGCAGGACGTCAATGCGTATTGAAGTCGACGTTGAGTAAAGAAGATCTCAAAGCTACAGTTTTCCCTTGATTTCTATAAACAACTAAGAAACGAATATAGAATTAACTCAGCCCCAGCATATCTTCATAGGAACTTTTACGCGCGCGATAAAACAGCGAAGACACCTATCTCTACAACTGTGTCCGCACTATAAACTCATATCATACCAAACTCTTATTGGCCTATTGTTGCCAGCTGTGTACTAGAAGTTAATCAAATCTACTCTTCTCATATCTATGATTAATGTTCATTTTGTCTGTCCTAATCCGATGGCGTAAGATATTATGAAGATCATCGGATCAGTTTGATCAGAACATACAAATTAAATAGACAGACGATTTTTTGACAGTATTCGATCGTCTAACCTGTAAAGCGGTATTTTAACACAAACAACGTTTAGGTATTGCACAATCCGAGTTCACTAACTACACTCATTATTTGCTGGTGTTTCTAGGCGTAAACTTTGATGTGTTGTATATATTCCCTACGTCTAATATCATAGGCAGGAATAAGTCTTCTGCTCTCTATAATGTCCCATACGGAGATTTTCTCCTCGTTAAGCTCGTAGGTCTTGCATTATAATCGGAATTATTAAGTAATCTTTATTTCAATTTGAGAAATGATATAATAGTTATCTAATAAGGTATAATAATTTACGTCGTTAATACGTTTACAGCGTTAAGGTTGATATCAATCGGCGTGTGGCCAAGCAGAGTAGAAAGTCAAAAAAAACAAATGTGTTTTTTATACTAAATCTACTTCTAGCGAGTTTATAAGGAATCGCAGGTAAATGAGCAGGATCATTTCGCCTTCAATAGTAGCGTTAGTTCGCATAATATTCTCTGTCAGGTGATGAAAGATATAACTTCATGCAGATCTCAGCATTGAGCAACGCCTCAAGGTTAATAAAGGGAAAATCTTGTTTCCTGACTGAATTTTAAGGTTAGCAATTCTCATATATAGATTTTTCTAATGAAGCCACACTCGTCCCTAACGTTGTACGCGCTTAATCATAAATACAATATCAATATGAACTTCTCAGCTAGCTTTGTTTGTAGGCAATCATTTACTTATTTCTCACACTTTACGTAGCTAGATTTGGGCCGAAGTAATTAACTTGATGGAAGTTAATGCTTGCTGAATAAAGCTACGGCACTTCGAAACGCAGTTGAGTGCGCCTCTAACCATCTGAGCTGACGAGAGAGTCGTCGGTGGAAACATCTAAAAGCTTTATACAATGAAGTACTATATAAATGATTTTTTAACTAAAGGCATTTTAACTAAAACAGCTGGACGTTATGTCGTGACTACAGATTTCTATAGAGAGGTTAGATTAGGTTAAATCATGTCATTCTCATATTTTTGGCTTTCCCTAATAGGCTAAGAGGCATCAACGAAAATATAAATCTAAGCGAGTTCTAGCCAAAGGTACTGCACAAATATGCATGAAAAAAAATGAAAATGTAGCGAAATCATTCACACTATAGATTTAATGATAAGTTACATAACTTGAAAGCTCCCTGAAATCTGATAGTCGGTTTTTACATGCTGAGCGTCTATCAACGCTATCCGAAAGCATCCCGATACAAATTTTTCGTGACTTTATATGCAGCGGACGTAGGAATAACAACGAAATTTTCCAGACAGCTTTCTAGGTCACTGTTTCAAAACATGAATTAAATGCGAAGTTTCTTTTCCACAATTCTATATAATATACCTTTTAACAAAAGTATAAGTAGAAAAAAGACGAATATGTCATGAGCAGGACACGGGTGACGTCACGGCGCGCTTCCCTCACCTAACGCGGTCAGCAGCTAAATGTCACATAAGGCCAAGGTGAAGGAGCTCATGGATAGCGCGGATCCAATTGCCTGTACATTTTTCAGACTTCCTTTGTCAGCTTGCCGACGCTGATCAACACGCCTATTCATGGCTAGCGGCAATCGACGCTACGTTATATAGACGGCAGGGAGAGAGTCTTTATCAGGGTCTGCTTGTATCTTTGCCCATGCATCTGTTCCGGATAAATTTCGTTCGTTATTACCGCCACCAGCCTACTGTTGCCGGCCTGCTTGTTGTGAGAGTCATGGTTGGATACGAATCAGCTGATCACCCCATCCGCCAGCCGTCCGCTTCTCTTTCGGTTAGCGTAGTGTTGTTCGCTGCTTCGATCGAAAATTTGGTCAATAGAGGAGACCCCGTCTGTGTTGATGTTGCTGTTAATGTTGTGTTGCTTAGAGTTATGAAGAAGCTAAACGTTTTCCAATTAGATGTTGTTGTTACTGTCACCGGTAGAACGATCAAGCAAGCACAATGTCTTTCGAAGTTCCTGAAACAAACAATTAGCGTCTTGCCCTGTGACACTGCCGAAATTCCTTACGCCGCCTATTTTGACTAGTTCTTCCGATGAAAATGCAGTCTGATCAGTAATTATATACGGCCATAGCGTAAGTTACGTGCGCCGGCAATCAGTTATAGTATACTCTACGTTTTTAGCTGGATAGATATTTCCACGCCGTTCGTAAGCCAGTACCAGTATTAATAGGAGTAGCATTGAGCTCACCTCACCAAGAGGTATCGCTCGAAACGCCGAAATTAGTTCACTGATCAAAAAAAGAGTATTGTTTGCATTTACTACTGAATGCAATAACTTGTCCTCCACCCACGGTGGAGCTTGTCCGTATCATGGGGGTCACACGGTCAACACTGTCACCACATATTCGCTTGGATGACACCTCTGGGGGAGCTGTAATTGTTGGATGAACAAATCAACCTAAAAACTGATACAGGCGTCGCTCTCAGCTGACTACCCGCATTCAACCTTGCTATATTAACTACGGTCGTATATAACTTACTGACGGCTGGGAGAAGGAAATAGAGAACTTTGATTCGTTGCACAACTTGTACATCTTCAAGAGTATTACGCAGCGTCATTATTTTAGCGTTAGTTTGATTGTCACGTCAGTGAGACAGACGTGCCCACTGCGCTTTTTCCGATCGAGCGTACTATTTACTGCTTTCTAGATTGGATGTGCTGAGTCTCCTATTTGACGTATCGGAAGATTTCTACACCGCGTAATTCTGCTGCGTGCAGGCTTTTTCAGTCAACAGGGTAGTAAAGTGTTACCGATTTAATGTGACTATTGTACCATGATGAAGCATAACAGTTTCCATAAATTGGCGGACTTTCTCCGGTCATACGGTGAGTACAGGGTCGTCATAAAGATACACATAATGAACGTCGAACATTATTTTATTATACATTTTGTTATTTTGAAAACATATTTTACTGAAGGACTAGTTATTATAGTGTTTGAAGCCTTAGACGGCCTAAAAAAAAAAAGAAAATTACTGTCAGTTATTTATTTCTACAAAAAATATGTAATCCTGATAAAATGTCTCTTTCATACACCGAATGCATACAAAAAGCTCTCACATTGCTACCATACAAGTAGGGCAACTTATTGTAGGAAGAACCGTTATTACCATGAATATGATCGTTTCAGGGCGGCTGTGAGGCTATAATATCCTGTCCAGCTTTAGTTCTTCGTTTTCAGGCTAATCGTGGGAGTTTTTAGGCTGTTTAAAACAGCATTTATCTAGTGGGTCAAGAAAACCGCTGTACCGCCAACATCCACATACTATCGAGTGTATGGAAACTTTCCACAATTATATAGCAGCCCGACGTATCGTGTAAATAAAAAAATCAACATTGTTATTTATATTTGTTATTTACATACAAGCCGTGTAACTGTAGAACATATATTTGCTGCTCCTCGCGGCTGTGGCTATTGAAAAGATCATCTCTGTGTCCATTGTTATTGAAACTATGAAAGCCTTTCGAAAGAGAGCCCAATCTGGTCACAAATACTGACTTTTCGCATTTGAGCTGAGCGCTCATACTACGCGACATTTTTTCTTTCGAGAATTTTTTTTACATCAAAAGTTTTCCAAATAACTCGCTATCTTCCTATTATGAATCAAAGCTTCGTTTTTCGTGCGTCCCCCCGACCCATTTACGTGGGTCGAATAATAAGTACTGGAAGGAATTACATTTGGTTTTAGACAGGAAAGATCGCGTCATTTAAAAATGAACATATTATTAGTGAAGCCGTTATTTGTACCTTACGTCCGCGTTTCTCTCGTTTTATGAAACTTCGAATGGACTATTTTGATAGATTTTTGTCCTGCACAGTTTTCATGAGCTTCGCTTAGCGATGGTTCTGCTATGAAGTGTGTCATTGTTTATGTATGGGGGACACCTAAAGCTTCGCGTTATATAGAATTTGTTGTGTTGTAGACATAAGTCAACCCGATCAATGGCTGCTGATTGAAAAGAGAGGACCGAAATCATTATATAACCGATTACGAAAGCCGTTCGTCAGTAAATCCGTTCTGATTCATTTCGTCAGACTACACGTTATTCCATCTAAAGATCCTCTACGGATGAAAGTTGTTTTATCGTATATTTCAGTGTTATCAGACGATGGGCTCGGTTGGTCTTCCCTAGATAGAGGCCAATCAGGCCAGTTAGGATAAATTTAGGCTCGAGTAGACATACATTGGGTGAGTCCCTGTAAAGTGTAACTAGTTCTAACAAGATAACCATCACAGTGTTGCGGGATACGGTGACATGTGATAGGTAATAAGGCCGAGCATATGGTACCATTATACTTCTGGAATTCTGTATATTAAGGATCGATGCTTCCGATAGCGTTTCTGTAACACGGTGGTTTTCACGCTAGTGTTCGACTATCGCTACTCGAATACGACGCTGAATGATAAATGTTTGCACGAACAGCTTTTAAGGCCAACTGCTTCTGTAAGCAGGCATTTGCTCAGTCGAACTTGTGGCCGTTCTGACCTGTGTCCATGCCTTGACATTTAGATAGCGATTTACGACCACAGAGGTGACTAGTGGTAATATCATATTATGGCATTTTGCCAACCATCCATTTAACCGTATAAAATTTTAGGTCGGCTGACCCCAAACATTTTTACATAGACAATTTGTAAGAGTAGTATCAATTCATAACCTTCTACCATGAGGCCATTTCATATATGAAAACGACCTTGTTGGTTAATTATGGTCGAATCAAAGAAGGACGGGAAGTGATTTGTTTAACAAAGCAATCTGTGACATTTTACAGTCGCTGTTTTTCTGTAGCTTATGAACGATTGACAGTCCTTATAAGTCCCATGTATTTCATTATTTGTTTATTCTCATATTTTTTTCTAGGTTATAGGAAGAGCAAACTGGTCTAGAATCTATACGCTTCTGCTCTAAAAAACATTGACCAGACGAGCAACTCCATTAGAATGAAATAAGTGCATTTCATAGAGCTTGCCACGCCGCTTTTACCACTAGTAAAGGTAGTAGCTAGGAAAATTAGGCGTTTCGAGGACAACGAAGTTTTTGCATCTCTCCTATAGAACTTATCACAACGAGCCGGTAGCATTTCCTTCAAAAGAGGCTTCATGAACGAGCTGCCACGCCATTTCATAGCGCAAATAATTTTTGTTTTTCATTTTAATTTAGAAAGGCCTCACTTAACAATGGCGTTGAGATGATTCAGATTGCGGAGTTTTTCAACGTTAGGTACTTGAGGCATTCGGCAGTACTTTAGACGGGTTTAACTGGGCCTATCCGGGGTTTCTCCGACGGACACATAAAGCAGTACGACAACAATCCGCCATAAAAACCGTTTGCAAACGCCAAAATTTGAATGAAACCCTCGATGGCCCCGTCTTTGCGATTATTAAGGCTACGCATTCAAGGAGATACGCATTACATTGTCAGATTCTGTCGCCCCTCGACTTTTAATTGGGATATCTTTTCTATATCTAGTTATCATTATTATTCTTATTAATTATTGTTAAACAGGAAACTGTTATATATAATAAGAACTGCTGCTCATCGCCAACGATGCTGCACTAAAACGGATTATTAACTATTACTTTTTCTAATTATACTGTTTTCAGGTGATTCTTTATTTAACAGCAATGGCTCCTCCATAGAATGCAAACTCTGTCTAACTACGCGAGCTTTAGTTGAACTTTCTAAACACCTATCGATGGTGTTACAAAATGAGCACTTTGAATCAAACTCGTTCTCGGTATGATATTTTCATTATTCCGTTTACTTCTTCTTAGGCGTGTTTTTTTTTCACATGTAGGATGTTTTATACATGTAATCACATCCCACCGAATCGTAAATTAAAATTTAAAAAAAATTAATATAAATTTAAAAGAACCGTGACTTGCTTGATTTTGCAGGTTTTAGGCTGTGACGCTAATTCATTGTATATGAGGGACCTCCTTTTCATTCACGACATCTTCCAAAAAGTGACCAAACTCAAGTTGGTTACCTCCTCAACGACCGTCGAAGTAAGCGCCAAATGCACCTTATATAGAATTGCTTGGTGAACAAATTCGAACGCCATAGGTTCAAAAGGTTAAGTAAGTTCATCTTACCATACCTTTAGCATTTCCATTTACATATCGATTGCCCTTCTAATTTCTTGAAGCGTATCGAGCCTTTTGTACACGGTGCTGCACGCCGCATTTCAATACGCTATGCTGAGAACAATACACAGGAAAATCTTGATTGAAGAACGTTCCCATTTCTCATTCCATAAATTTGTTGTGGTGCGGTCGTAATCTGCTGCATTTAGAGCGAGATGTCCCTTTCACGGTTTGGCGCTCTCCGGCAGCTCGATCTTCAGCGGGTGCCACCACACCTTTTCGTGCCTATGTGTCCGACGCAGGCCGGACAACTTGAGGTCCTCGAAGCTCACCGTTGCCTCACTGAAGCCAAGGTTCGTATTAACGAAATAGACAACAAGATCATGGCTAGAAGCAGCTAGTGTACTTCACGGGCTTTTCATAGATATCCGTAATCGCTTATACCCTGTCGCATCTCGCGAAAGATATTGACAACCAAGCTTCGTAACGTATACGTAAACGAATGCGAACTGTCTTCATTGAAAAATAGTTGCGGTTTCCCCTGTGTGTTCGTATCCTAATTATGCAGAAGTACATGTAAAACGGTATACATAGATTAATGATGATGACGATAAGTTACAACTCTTTGTAAGTCACTATTGCTAGTAAGTGCAAAAGTCACAGGTAGAAAAACAGGGTAAGTGCTAAGTATTGGACTTGTTGGTTGCCTGGTTTGGGCCTTCAATGATATTGTTAATTTTGGTGATTATAAGCCCTACGATGTAAACGGCGTTAATTCGTAAATACTTAAGTATCAACATGATGATTAATAAAAAAAAGTCGTTGTTAAATAAACATAATTGAATGAACACATTGAAATTATGTGTTTGGCTACTAAATATTGGTTTCTGAAATACGCAGGCAGCTAAGAACTTTACCATTTTATTAAGTTTCTGATAGAGGAAAATATTTTTTTCATTTATTTTGGAAAGCTTAAATAGAATATCATATACGTTTTACGCTCCTATGAAACCTATGATAGGCGATCTCAGGCCAATAGGCTAACATTGTTCCTCTAAACTACGAGGGTAGCAGCTACTGCAGCACAATATACTCCGTACCAAACCATTACTTATAAGTACAATATACAATTGATTTTCGTTTTTGGATTATTATGTCTTTGAAGTACGTTAAATTAAACTTTTTCATTCTTTTTGTTATTATATACTTTTCCATTTAATATAAAAGTGCCCCTATTTATAGCTGTAAACATCGTAATGACCTTTTACTGAAGAAAATGAATACCCTTTTCGTGTTAATTTTTCTATAAAGATGAGAAACGAACAACTGGTTTGTGGTAGGCTGTAGATTTAGGGTGTGTAGTGCTATCTTTATTTGAAAAATGGGTTGCTGAGGATCATCAATCAAGTTATAGGGCAAGCCCATTTGTTCTTATAAATGTTTTAAGATTCCATTTGTTTATAATAGAAGTGGCACGGAAATTACTAACGCCTGTGTTGATTAACAATCGTAATTAGTAGAATTGTCGTTTGTTGTTGTAGGCCGTGCTGAAATTGTCGGGTGGAGCTCCGTGGAGCAGACTGGAAACCCTCAGATTGTCTCACAATATGCTCATTTCATTTGGCCTTGAGCATCAAACAATTACTGTGAGTTCTATTTTTTCATATCATAGCAGCTTTAGCCTTTGCATAATGGCCTATTCTTCAAACACTCAGCAATGCCTAACGCGTACTTAGGGAGCGATCAGCAAGAAAAGACGCCGGTAGATCGAAAAGAAAACGGAACGAATGTAACCGGAAATAAATCTCGTTCCAACGCATCTAAGCAATCGATTTATGCGGCGGCGATCTATAATTTCAGGCTAAACTACCTTAAGCCATTACTGAAACAACCTGTGTTTGTATTGAATAATATAGGTCTGGCTATACTGCGTATTGCATAATGTGTCAAGTAGGCTATAGTGTCTGGTAGTCGACACAAGTCAACATTAAAGAAGGCGTGGGTCCTGCACATGCTGTCACACTCGTGCTACACAGAAATGTACCGTAGTCGTTTGCTCTTCATAGGTTGCACAATCCTCTGCTCCGTACTAAATGTTCATTTCCTGATTCTATAGGAAACGGATGTCGACAGGGACAAGAAGAATGAGCACTCGTTGCATATGTCACACCTACTCCCCAATCTTCGTAATCTTGACCTGTCTCATAATCAGCTCCGAGAGGTGGGTCGGCTAATAGAAGTTAATCAGAGTGAAAAAAAAAACGGATATTTCGGCAATCCCGAATAAGTGCGGTATAGTTGCTGTGTATTGATTCTTGCAAGTTAGTTCCTAATACATAATCTTCAAACTCGAATTGAAGAACTTCTCGTTTTTCTTTGTTACGGCTTGTGTTTCTACGTGAATAGCTCGATCTCTGCGGATTGGAGTACTTGTCGTGTGTCGATCTCTCATTCAACTTCATTTCGCGGATACCTCAGTTGCATTGCCGCTCAAGCCTTCTTCATTTGGCGCATCTGTGTCTTCGCAACAATCTTCTCGAAGATCTTTGGGGCCTGGAGGCACTGACAGCCCTCAGAGTATTAGACCTCGGGTAGGTTTGCAAAGGAATTTTGGATACACATAAACTGTTATAATGGTCACCAAGTCATGCTCAAAAGATTTTCTTGAACCCTTACAAGTTAAAAAAAAATAACGAACTTCATGTTTTCTTCGTTAACTTATATTGACAGGCACAATATGATGAGCGAATTCAGCGTTCTGCAACCGTTGGCCAACTTGTTGCAATTAGACCGGCTGGCATTGGAAGGCAACCCGTTTGCTCTCCATGTTGACTATCGAAAAAAAGTGGCTGCGTATGTAGCTGAAGTTACTTTATGAACATCAACTGAGCATCTAGTATTTAGATGAACATAGATGGTCTAGTCCCAATCATTGGAAGACTATCGATTGCTAATGATATCGATCTCAAAATGAATTGTCTAACTTGGTAAAATATAGAGATACTTTGAGCTTGCTTATATTAGGTTGGAAAGAGAGTTCTCGCGTCGACTCTTTCCCACATTCTCTCGCTCGTCGTCTACTCGTTGCCTACGGTATCTATCAACTTCTCTCATTTGACAACAGACCTAAGAGATCCTCCTCTCCTCGCCGACCTTTTGAGTTTGATGACGCCCATCTGAGGCCACTTTTGAAAAAAGAGGGCTGAACAACAACTTGGAAATCGGCCGAAAACATAAGCGGTGGCCAAATAATCGTTTTCAAGTGTTTTGAGTCCCGCTGATTTACAGAAAAACTCAGAGCTCGGATGCCTCATGAACTCTCTGAATCCAACAAGAAAATATGGCTTGATGCTGTGTCTCAGCGTCTCGTCGCGTGTGAGACGTCTCGTGATTGATTAGTGACGGATTTTTGCGCACGATTGTCGCCGGTAATAAGAAGTAGTGTCAATACGTCAACATGACTCATGTATTGGAATAGGTGATTTCAGCAAAGGATCTCAAACCCAGGATCTAACCAAATCTTGATTCGAAAAAAACTATGAGGACCTGATTCATTGCGAATGGCTTCCTCCGAACCAGGCAATTGATCGGCGCGTTTTTTAAGCCAGTTTAATTCAAAATGAGAAGTTTTATTGTACTTGCGCAAATAGATCTTCGCTTTTTCCGCTCACTGGATAATCAGCTCTGTGGTCTTGCCTTCGATATTGATCAACAATTGAGAATCGACACGTGGTTAGAAAGTTTGTTTGAGACAAAATGTGCGTCTTTTTTAACAAAATGGCGTATGCCATTTGGTCGAAAGATGGGAGAAACAGAACAATGAAACATATTGATTTATTCTCATAGCAGTAGAAAATTTCGTGCTTTCTATTCAGCGAAAAAACGTGGGAACTTTCTTTCTGACCTGATATTAATGAATACGTTCTACTTGTAATTTTCAGCACCTTGAATTTTAGGAGTGCCGTCCTCCTGAGTAGATTAATTACTCTTTTCTAATCGAGTTTACTTGAAATAACAGACACATCGCCAAAACAGTCATTCTGGATGGCCAATACGAGGTTTACAGCGAACGAACGTTAATCCTAAGCACTTTAGAGCCAATACATATATATCCCGTCGGCCGCGGACGGACCGAAGCCGTGGACCAGCATATATATGTAGGCGAAACTGAGAATTGCCCCTCGTTGTCCGGCGCTCACCCTAGCAGTTCCGCATCCTCGGTCAAGACAGGCAAAACCCGACAGTCTATAATAGGTTCGTATATTATAAGACAAAGCCATCAATACTGTTGACAAACATTTTTGCACGAGCACTTCATTTCATACAAATTTGCTTGCGCAAAGTAACATGATCATTTCCCAGATGCTTTGTCTCGACTGCGAAAAGGCTAACCAAGTAAACCATATTCTGTGATTGCAATAAAACAAAATAATTATTGTTGTTCGATTGATCCTCACTGAATGTGATAATGTTCCCATAGACAGCATTGTAAATCTGAGTCCTGTTTCCATTTCTCCCTTCAGAGAACCCGGCAGAATGTGATACGGAATCACAAGAGAGACTCTCTCTTATGAGCAATTCACAAAATGTATCCAATTTGAAGCAAGTTGTTCAGGAACACTGCAGGGAAAATGGCCACGCCTGGCTGTTGACTGCCGCTCATGTCCTTCAACTTCCGATGGCGCAGAGTACACCCCTGCCGCCCCTGAGTAGTTCCCAGGATACTAACATTACGAGTGAAGTAAACGGAAGGCAAAAAGAACTCGGCTGTGGGCGAAAGGAAAGCCATCAGAGTGGTGGGTTACAGTCTGCCTTTTCCATGTCACGGACTCTCATTATATCGAAAGGACTTTTTCCCGATAAACAAACGTGATCTCTATTGAGCGAAAAACGATATACGCTTATTTAAAACGTCAGTCAACTTCTATTAGAAAGACCGTATAAATTGCTGATGCAGTATCCTTATATCACCACTAAGGCTAGAATCGTCATGACAAATCTGTTCGTACGTGGAAAACGAAATCGGTTCGTTTCATTAATTAAATTTGTTATACCTCTCAGACGACTGTTTGATCGTAACAGGCGAGGATGTGCCTTCTTCTATAGATCTGGCGTCATTGAACGACAACAAAGAACAAGCTTTACTAGGACAACCTCGAGGCGCCTCTCCTAACGCTTCGTTGTGCGCTGCCGTATTGATGACGACGTCGCAAGTGGAAAGTATCGATGAAACGTCTGTGCGGGCAACTCCTGAACTAGAAGACGATGCACTAGGAGCGTCGGCGTTCGGGCATAGCGAAAGTGACAAAGAGTATGCTTATTGGTCTATGAAGAGTTAGCTCGTTTTTTTTTACCATATGAGCATCATAGCGCTATAATAAATAAGATTTGAAGCTGTTTACAGTTGTTGAATCATTTCAACAATATAGCTATTCTACACCGAGCAGAGAACACAACCTATCATTTGAATAACACTGATAAGTTCATTTATTTTGCATGTTTGCTACCACTCTGTACGACCCTTTTCCTTCTTCCGATTATCTTATTCCGTCCCGCTAGGAATACTTAACTCTTATATTAAAGAAGCGATACGTCCTGTTCTTGATCGTTATTGTCCTTGTCGAAAGCACTGCTGACAGTTTCATTTGCCAGTGGGCGGAGAAGGTTTATGGTGGAAAGTATGCCTGTCGGGCCGTTTATGCTCAATAGCTTTACTTTCGTAACGTAATTCGGCCATATACAGATTTTTTCTCGAGCATTTGGCAGCGTACAAGGACTTTCGGGTTCGCCCAAACGGAAATCGTCATTCTTGTCAAACGATCTAGCTTAACATTAGGTTTGAGCATATCTTTCTAAACTAGCCACTCATACTCCAGATTAAAAATGCCAGCTTTGAACTTAGCAAGCTAGTTTCGAATAGCGTCCTTATTTTTAGACTTCTCACTATACACAGCATAAATGCCCTCATGCTGCATCAAGTAGCTTTGTGATTCCATAAAAAAACTAGGTGTCATGAATATTTTGGTGTAAAAAAGTGACAGAATCGGGTTCGTCACACTCTGTCATTGCGATTGAGAAAATAGCATGATTTCGAATGGTATATGCTAACAAAGAAACATTACGTCTGAAGCCACTCTATTTAATGGCACCATTTACTGTTTGAATAACGTATACGCTTTCTTCAATTGTAAGCGTATATTCTCCTTTGTAGTGCGTTTAGTTTTCCTCTCATTGACAGTACCTTGAAAATACGTGGGCGTAGACATATTTTCAACTTTTTTTATGTTACTTTTCCGACCTGTAAAGCTCCATAAATGATGGCTTCTCGAATAATTTTGCATGCCCTCTGATTTAACGTATTGTATAGAGAATCACCCGCAATCGGTGTGATCGACGCGGAGCCACCTGAGATAAATGATGAAGACATCGAGGCTCTAGCGGATACCACATCAGATGGAACGTTCCTATCAGCTGCCGCGACACCTACAGGCGATGCCGCCGGTTTTAACGTGTAAGCTATATATTATTATATTAACTTAGTGTACCCTGTTTTGAAGATTGCAACCAGCGCATCCGTAAAGTGGAAATATATGAACGAAGCTTATAATAAAAAAAAAATTGTTATTTTGCTTTCTACAGTAATGGTCGCCGAAATTTTAGCTAAAATCGTCATTTCTCAACGGTAGAGCCTAAGATTGTACATTAGTAATGCTTCTGGTAGTATAATCTCCATAAACAATTGTTTTTCCAAAAATTTCACCCTTCTACAGCTTGAACAACACATTGGAGGAACCAGGGTCAGCGATCAAACAAACGGACCCATCACCTCGAAAGTAACAATGCTTTTCCTGTTTCTCATTAGATACAACTAATTAGAGCTAGTTCTATACTATTGCTAAATTACAGTTTTACATTCTTTCCACGAATTTGAGAGGTCCTTTTCGTCTATTGTTTGTAACGTGGCTTTTATAGGCAGTAAACTGCTGGCTTGTTCCTATGTTCTTGTCGCGCTAATTTACCCGAGTAGCATGAGCCCAAAATAACTATTAGCACATAAAGATAATATAATGCGTTTTGACGTTACGAAGTAGGAGTATTACGAGCTTGGACGATTCAGATCGCTTGGAAGAAGATGGTAAGGTATGGGCCAGATTACGAGAACTCCGTCGGAACAACTTGGAGTATGACGCCGAACATTCGATGCCTGCTGAAGAAAAGGTACGGCAAATAACCGATCGACCCACATTTTTATGCCTGCAATAACCAAAATTGAGAACCACAATTTCATCTTATCCTACTAGCATGTAATGTACTTTAATATCGTGCATGATAATTAAAGATTCGTCATTCATCATTCAAACCTTGGTCTTGAATGGGGAATATACTGTATGTATGTGTATATACAAGACGTGTAGCTACATTTATACACAAATTAACTGTAGCAGATGTCTCCTATGGGGTTCCAATGCACTATTTACTACCTCATATAGGTTTAGAGGCACGGAACCGAGCTAAACTATTGCCGAGGGCAAGATTCATGGATGTGTCTATTTGCTACTCCACATGTGCAGTAAAACATACTATGCTTAATAAAAATCAAGTTCAGAAACTGTTCTGAGGGTTTTGCTCCGATGAGTATTTAATGCTTCCTTTCAGGTGTATCTGGAATTGCAGGTGTTCACGAAGGAGGAAAATTTCCGAGCAGCTTTTCGAGCTTATATTGTTCTGACCCATGATTGGGCCTTGGAGGGTTGGTGCACAGAATCTACTTTACCTATACTTAACTTCCAATAAAAAGAATACATTTCACTTCTGGGCTGAAGATAGGTTTATGACTTTTAAAGATGTGTTATAACAAGTCCAGGTTTACTAGGTTTCCAAACAAAGAAGTTGTAGGATAGAAATTGAATTGGAGCTTTTTATTATGAGGCTTTTGATAAGCGTCACTCGTTTTCTGGCGTAACTATGAATCCATTACCAATGCAACATGCAGCTTAATAATAAGCTGATTGAAGTAGTTCACTTCAAGTTGATAATGCGTCATCTTATCTTGATTAAGTAGCATATCTTTATTAAGTAAAAAATACTCTTTTGGTGAGGTTGTCTATACGAACCCATTTACTACTTCGAGAGCGAGTACTACCTAACTATGACGAGTCTTTTAAAAAAGGTTTTGTAATCCTCTCCGAGCATCGGATGTACGTGTCTAAGCCGCGAGTTTCAACCTCGGAGTGCGGCGTTCTCTGGTCCGTACCATTGTGTCGACTTCGTCGCACCACTGTTCAGCTGGGAGCACAGACACTCGTAATTGAAGTTGATAAAAACACAGCCGAATGGGGGCCGTGTGGGGGACCCGGTGCCGCGCCCGATTGGCTACTTCTGTACATAGGCGATACAGGCTGGTGTGCACAGCTTTCTCAGCTAATCAACCGTAAGTCGGCACGAATCCTAATTTAAAAAAAATTTCGTCATAACATTTATATTGATTTGTATCAGCGTTCTGACCCTGTCTAGCTGAAGCGATTAGCAAATATTCCACGACGGTTTTCTTTACGCACACAGATACAATAGGTATTTATATTTACTATATACAAATTGCAGTTTACATGCCGGAAAAAGCTCGAACACTGCGGTCGGAGGTTGGAAGTGGGGATTTGCTAGCATCGCTCCATCTCGAAAGCGAAAGTCTTCGAGCCTACTCGCAGGTAAACTTATCTTAAATCATTAGGAAAACATGCCTTCTTAATATTTATTTGATTTTCGTCTAAAATTGCAGTATTTTGTATCCATATATAGATTTAAGGCATTTATTCGTCTTATTATTTGTAGGGTTACTGGAGAATTTTGGACGATGGAGGCGCGACACCGCCAGAAAAAAGCCACGTTTGTATCGCAGTTGCTTCGCAGGACGTCGTCGTCGTACGAGAACGTCACGTTGAACCCGAGAAGGTCGTCGCCGTGTTATTATAGCTTGCACGTCACAGTCACGTGTACTTTGTCTAGATAGATGATAGAAACTAAATTTACTGAAACCGAAGTATAACCGAATCGATAATTTCTATAAAGGACATAATATTGTCCTATAAGTCCCACCCTTATATAAATCTATTATAAACCATTCGCCCGACGGAAATGTTTACCCCCCCCCCCCTCCCCCGGTTATATTTACAAAGCTGTTTTTAGAGCTTAGGAGCTTGAACAAAGCATTTTATCCTAGAACAGTTAACGTAATTGTTTGCAGGTAAAGTTTACTGAGGTATGTACTCAGTCGATCATCGCACTTACCTCGTTAGCGCTTGAAGAGAGTGATCCACGAATTGCGAACGTCACGTTTGCCCTGGATGAAACCGGCACCAGGGAACAGGTAAAGGAGATGACATTTTTCACACTAAATTGAAATAGAATTACTTAGCGATCTCTCAACCACTTAATAGTAATGCTAGTAGCACTTAATTAATACTTGATTATTATTATTAATTATATATTTGTTCATAGAAACATACGTAAAAAGTTCGTGTTGCGAGTGCAGTTAATTTAGGTTCGCTATTTCTTTGTAGGTCATAGTGGTTATGTTCTTCTCGAGAGCATCTGCCTTACGTCTAGTCGAATCTTTAAAAGAAAGCATTTTGTTCAAAAAACCTTACGTTCGCCATATCTAGGTACTAATGACAGCACACGCAGGCTGCCCAAACATGTACGACCATTGTATTTTACAGCTGAACTCTTATTCAAATAAGAATATTCGGTCTCACGGTTCTGATCGCGGATATATTTATTCCAGGTGTGGTACTTTGAAACTGCGTCCGTAGCATCAATGTTTGTGTTCATTGAGAGCCTCCGTCAACCCTGGCAGGAAGTCTTCGACATCGAACTACCACTCAGTTATATACAGTGAATCTAATCTTTTCTCAATACAAATTATAGCGATAGGACTCTAGCGTTAAAGAACTTCGCCGCTTAATACGAATCATCTGGACGCGATCAAACGCACCCATTAAGAACGACAAATGCTGCTACTATTCGCACACATATATATATATATTTATCTATTGATTCAAATGTATTGATCTTATGTCAGATTATTTGAAGCGTTTTATGACCGACCTTCGCTAAATGGCTGTGTGATTCCGCTTAATTGACTTAAAGCGTTCTCCAGAAAAACAACTTTATTGTTTCTAACACTGTACAAACAGTATGTTATCGATGAAACAATTGAAGCCAACCAAGTGTTAGTTGCAGGCTATATTACAATAAATATATAATTATATAACTTCCTGTAAAGTAATTTGTAGCTGACCCGAAATTAGTGATGGATGAGTTTTTCATTCTATTTTGTCGCAATGAAAAATAAAAAAAAAAAACGAAATGTTATATACCTGTAAATAATTACTAGCTATATGATAGTTTTTTTCTTTTTATTGCAATATTTCGATAGATATATTAGGCCAACATACACAATCGCCTATGTAAAGCAATATTTATATTTACATAGTTGTTTTTAATGCCGAAACGAAGAAACACCTACTTTTGTATATATGTACGATTTGGTATCCACAAACGCTCAACGATTGGAAGAGGCGGAACCTCCGATTTCTTCTCTAGCCACAGTCTTGTCAAGCTAGCTTGAAGGACAGTTGATTTAAATGAAATTAAATCAAAATTTCAACTAGACGATATTTAGATCGTCCCTACCGTTTAGTTCCTACTGAAGTGTCAAAAAGCATCACTAACACTTCAGGAAATTTTTATAAGTATGAGCTAATAAATGCAAGGTTGTGGCAGGCAATGTGGGTACTATCATGAGCTACCCGTCTGCAAAAAGGAGGCCTTTTTGATATTGTTTTTGCCAATAGATATTGATTTAGCACATCGTTTCTGGGCAGGGTGCGATTGCGTATATCACAATAACGGCCTCACTATTCTACCACTAACTGATGATTGATACTATCCAATGAGTAGAATCGAGGCTTTAAATTTAACTAAATAAAGATAAAAGTATTTCAGAGATTATTTTCGAAATTTTGTTTAATTTTATATTCATTTTATGAAAGGCCATAGCTAAACGAACGGCAGTACGTTCTCGAAACCTACTTCTTTACGCATTTACATGCATAAATATAGATAAAAAAAAAACTTCATTTATTTTAAGTACTGCCAATAGCTGTCGGTTGGCTTTAGCTGTACGCGTGAAAATGATGTGAGACGTTTTTGTGAAACAACGAGCAGTTTCCGTATTATATAAACGAATAATATATCGAGAAGAGGATTTCGAAAACAATCATTTGTCCTGCTGAGATGAGTCGCCTTCGTATAATGATTAGAATGTTCTTGTCCCCGCTGTTCTGTTTTTTAACTGGTAAAAAATGTGATTAAATCGATAAATATTGCATTAGTAGTATTTAAATATAACGAACGTGTCTCATTTTTTAGTCTTCTGAGACCCTAATGGGCAAAAACGCCGCTTTTCCAACACAGCAGCATTTCTTTAAACAACTTCCCGTTAGAGATTTTTTTAAAAAAATGTTTACTAAAGCTAACTAAACAATGTATATGGGAAATGATAGCAGACAAAAATCATACATCTATCACACTTAAAAATTTCCATGTTTCGAACTTCCGATATAACTAGTGCACCAAAAGAAAATACCGATGAATGAATAAAGTTCCAAGCGTTCAAATTCAATTTGTCTTAATGACAGTTTCTTTGCAAAATCTTACTCGACAACTGGTTCAAATAAAAATGGCACGATTATAGTTGTTTCTTCACCAACAGTGGCAGACAATTTTCTCATAAGACACAATTCGGTGGTAGCTAGTCTCAGATGAGGTCGTATGATGATCGGGTACACTCGAAAATACATATGCACAGTGTGACACCGCCAAAACAGCCTTAATATAACTGCAGTGACATTTCAACTAAATCAACTTAAATCTCTGTGGAAACGCATCTGTTCGGAAACATGCAACAACGATTTTGCCGCCACTAAGACATTTTCTGAATGATGATGACGCCATTTTGGTTTTTGGCAGGACTGCGCTTGTTTATATTTGAGCTCCCAGCTGTGTACCGTTCTATTTTATCCACACCTGAGAAGTTTTTGAGTAAGATGGCATTGGTATAACATACGATCACGTAGGTATTCGGTGAAGAAGTTCGCCGCCTCAACTTTTTTTTTTTTCTATCTTTTTACGTTTCGAAGAACGAAGAAGAAGTGAAAGGATAGGCTTCTTTTATCTAGTAGGCAAAAATAGCTAGCTAGAATAAGAAGTGCATTAATAAAGCCTGTAATCGCTGCATAGAGTTTAAACGAAAAATTTCGATATTTTCGTGTGAGATTTTCAAACCATGTGTGTTTCTTTACTGATACGTTTAGAGGTCATCGAATTGTACTGTGAAAGGTTTCTGCTTGTGTAATTTGTCCCGGTAGAGATTAATAAACACAGAAATATCTGGATGATTCTAAAAACTGTATATGCCATATACGTTAGAGCATTCGAATTTCTAGTCGTTAAATAACCGTATGTGAATCTGCGTAACTAAGTACGGTTAAAACGATTTCTTTGGGATTTATAACTGTATATTGTGTCTCTGTGACGTATAGCGTTATATTCTCCTTGCAAGACTTTATTTAAACCAATAGAGTTTCTACTAACACATTGGATCCTGCATCTTACGAGCTGTGATTTGTTCACTTTTTACTACGGTGAATTGTCAAGATATAAAGTTCCCTTTATCTATTTAAGACTACTACATCATTTGTGTTTTTACTACTGAATCTGACTGGTTGCCAGGTCTAAATCACGTTGCAGCTTGGCTATTGTTGTAGCGGTAAGACCATTTTGTTGATTTAGTAGCCGTGCCCAGCAGATATTGTGGGTCATAGGGCCGAAGGCCATATAGTACGCTGGAGCTGGCTGGAAACGCGGGGCTCCTTGAAATATGGAGGAGAAGCCGCCGAGGAAAGTGGCAGCAGGAATTGGCGCTTCGATCAATGATTTGCCCGAGGTTGTGCTCGAGTACATACTATTGCAGCTTTCACCCTACTCTGATTTACACGCATGTTCGCAGGTACGTGATAATTCGACTGGGTGTATATAGTCTACCGAGTGTTGCCTTTAGACTGACAAAGGAACTTACGTGATAACGGGAAAATATTTTACCTCAGGTAAACAGACTATGGAACTTGTTGGCAAAGAGGGCAATGGTGAAGATTCGCCGAAACCTCGAACAGGCGGTACAGAATCAGCAGCTTCAGTGGTTCACCAGGCCTATCGAAGAAGGGGAGATTGGCGCCTGTAGGTATTTCTAGTACAGTTCGCCTTAGATACAAGTGACCTATAGAAAATCTTCATATTTTGTTATTGTTCTGAGCGCTGAATATTACTGCTTTTATTGGCGAGTTGAGAAGTTCACCGCACTATAGCACGTCGTCTTTTTGTCCGTTTCAGCCTATATACAAAAGCGTCACTCACACTCCTGTGTTGTCCTAGGGCGACGCATGTACGTGTTCGGGGGCTGCACGTCGAACACCTCCACTACCTACAACGATCTATGGTTAGCACCTGTTCAATATCGTTCGTTCGTTCGTCAGCAAATGACAGCTTGTAAAATGTGCATGACTTTTAACTGAAGTATTGGTTTAAGAACCTCAGGTAGCAAGTCCTTGATCCTTCAATTGCGATTTTTGATATCACTAAGTATTTGTCAGAATGTATTACGCTATACTATACCGGCAGCATAGAAAATGATGAAGAGTTGCTTTCTCTCTAACACACGCTTTTGTCCAACGCCGTTCAGTCCATAATATAAGTGTTTACATCTCGGATTATTTCTAACGATTTAGATAATGTCACGATGCTAACAGGTCATACGATCTTGCGCGTCGTGTATGGGTAAAACCACTGTCGTACGGGACGTATCCTCCACCGAAGGCATGCGCTTCATTGATTACGCACCAGAATAAACTCATTTTGTTTGGAGGTTGGGCACACACCTCCCCGTATTATCCACTTTACAACGTGAGTATATGCGCTACCTCATATAAACGCCTCGCATTGAATCAGTCTCTTCACACACGAACACAATTATCTAATACGTCATTAGGAATGTTGCAACAAATCTAAAGAAATCGACCCTGCTTCCTAAAAGATCCATGCTAAGGGCATCGTGGATCGGAAGCCTTTCCGAAAGATTAAATACGACTAAAAACGTTTACGCAATGCAATATTAGAACTTCATTTAACTTGTTATTTAGTAGCGGAAAAATCGATCGAGGCGATGCCGGGCACCTTAGTATAAAAACGACTGGTAACAATATGCGATAACTGAGGTATCGGGCAATGTTTAGCCTCATTTGTGTAGGATTTTTTTAAAAAGCAGTAGGCGAATTATATCACATATGTGAAAATAAGAAAAGTTATCGAACATTGCATGGTGAAAAATTTTCAGTCTTGGCGTATCTTTGACCACATCCATACCTATGATCCCGCTATGAATTGCTGGACAGAAGTTAATCGTATGGCCACTTCAGGTAAGTGTGAAGTACTGCAGATAGTAGTAGGTTATCGAAGTTATTGAATCTATCAATTTAGCTGTATTTGACTTGTTCGATTAGTGTTAGTGACGTGGCCAATTTGAAATCTCACTGTTATATGATCATGCAGGTGATAGATTTGGCCCCAACAGACATGTTATACTTGTTATTGTTCGAGTTATTATCGGGACATACCCCTGACAGATTCGTAATGGACCATGAGCTACCAAATCGAATGTGGGTATTAACGTCAATACATTTATCCAAAACATTTGCTCGAAACCCATTTTCGGTATAATGACACTGCTGTGACACGAACACCTTTAGCATCCAGACTATTAGCAGAAAACCAATGTAACTTGTAATAAGTGCAATGGAAAGCCGCCTCTGTTGATCATATTGTTTTAGGTTGTTGCCCAGCGACAGCAGGTCACACCGCGTCCCTCTTTCGGGAGGACAAAATGCTGCTTTTTGGGGGACTCCAGGCTCTTGACGACGGCCGTGGACCGCCGTACAACATGTACGTAAACGTCTGCATGACAGTTTATAGCAATTTCGCTCACATTATCAGGCCGTAAATGTCTTCTGTTTCATTATTTATTCGTTTAGTGATACTAGTTTATGTTCGTGATAGAAGTTTATGTTGGGAAAGCATCAGCTCTATTTTATTATATGTATTATTTTGATTGTTTTATTTCTGTCTACACTCCCCTCCTCGAGCACCATCACGAGAAAGAACAGTTTCAATAAACTACGACTGAACTATACCATGTGATTAGAGTATCTTGCTTTATTGACCCATGTTAATATTATTTATTTAATGCTAGACTGCCCAGACTGTTAAAATTTAAGCAATGCTTCGTAGTCTTGCGTAAAGAGGTCAAGACAAAATAAAGCGCATATTTTGTGCAGCCTATGACTTTTGTCTTTATCTGGTACAGGTCGAATGACGTCTGGCTCCTGAACCTAAAAAGTTGGATGTGGTCAAAGCAAAAAATTCAAGGCGCAAAACCAAAGCCTCGATATGGGCACTCACAAATCGCTCTTGATGAGGATCACATTCTAATTATCGGTGAGTGTTACAATATGTCTACTTGGACAACGATAGAGATCTTACCACAGTCCGTAGTATATAGAGCAAGCTAAAGTTAGCGACTTTAGTTGTTAGCCATAAGCGTAAAGTGGCTATTTAATTTTGATTGCAGGTGGTTGTAGCGGTCCCGATGAGATGTTGTATGATTTGTGGCTGTTGGAAGTAAGTAAACATGTATCATTTCTACCATCACTATTTCTATACCTTTTCCCTTTATGGTCGTCGTTATCCAAGTGTCGGTTAAAAGAATTATTTCTTTTTCCTCTTCTGAACTGTTATGGAGTTACTCAAAAAGGACAAGGCCGAACGAAAGTGAGAGAATATAAGCGCATAAAGCCTAGTGCAAAGACCTACTCATTTAAGAGACACTGGTAAAACCGCTTCACCTTGAATGTCACTCCGCCAGCCAGTGGGACTCTGAGCGAAGATCTAACTTCAGAATGGTTTTCATATATGCTGAATTTATAAGGCGTGTTCAAGGAATCGAACATCAGATAATCTCGAATGGAAATGGTACCCGATCGAGGTAGCGAACCAAAAAGATGGGGCACCAAGGTTAGTAACTAAAAATCTTTGCCTATCGCACATATAGTTGAAGACCTTCTAGTTTGTTATTAGAGACGCAGACCAAAATGACTGCGGCGTTTTTTTTTCTCTTTTTATTAGAACAGTAGGGCGTACATTTGTTAGAGGTTATCTCAGTAGCACGTGTCGGCTAAGTTATACTGAACAACGTGCTTTGTTTTTTCGGCGTCTACAGGCTAAGTTTTCACCCAGCTTGCCGTGTAGGCGACTGGGTCGTTATGCTTGGTCGTAGTCGATATGGCGCAAAAAGTGTTCCACAGGCTTCGGTTCGAGTATCACATGCATCGCCTCTACGAGCTCGTCCAGCTAATGGCGATTTTATGCCTGGGCCGTCTCGACTCGACAGAGGTCCGCCAGGTGGAGCCGTCGCTGCTCAAGGAGGGGCAGCAGCTGGCGCAGTGGCTTCCCCCACACACGCCGCTGGCTGGAAATCAACAATGAGTGTCTATGCTCTTGATATCTCTGAGTCGGTAGTGAAGAAACGAGCCTGCTGGGTGGAGCGGGCTGAAGCAGCAGGACGTGTCCATCAGCCGCCCGAGCATCTTGTTCTATATACACTCGTCAAAGGACAGGGTAAGAAAAAAATTCTGTGCGTTGACAACCACATGAGAGAGGAAACGGACGGATCTATTATTAAAATTACGATAGTTAGAACGGCGGTAGAATGAAAAGGATTTTCGCTGGCACAGAAGTCATAAGCTAGTTGCGTATACCACCTAGCTAGGATCTGTTTTGTGATTGATAAAAGCTATCTGTTTTGATGTCCTTGCTAGTAACTGTCCCTCCTGTGTAATGTCCCTTTTCAGGTGAATTATTGATGTTTGGAGGTATTCGACGCGAGAGCTGTGCTGGCAATTCTGAGGTTCCGGCCAATTCCGACAACGCTTCCAATGATCTTTACTCGCTGTCCTTTACCCAAGAGGTCATATGATCTAACTAAATGGAAGTACAGAGCGCCAAAAATAGGACGACTACTCGTTGCTTTGCTGTCGCTACGTTTTTCGGCCTACAAGTTGATGCTGGATTTACGGGATTTTAAGACGAATTTGATCTCGAAGCTGATAATAGGTGATGTCGGTACCCTAACGAAATCCAGCGGCATTTCCTCTCTTCAAATTTGAGCGGGCGATAGAAAATTGAGTTAGCTACGTCCATTCAACTTGTGCGTCTGTGCAGATGGCTTTCCCCGCGGCTGTTTCTGTAATTTGTATATTTCTCCCACTTTGTCTCGATTCAGCATGTGTTCGCGCGTAGGTGCTTTCTAATGTCAGCTTTTCCGTAAGTAAGGTACGTAAGCGAAGCTACTATTGAGTAGAATGGCCCATTTGTACACAGGTATAACGGCGGTCATGCCAAAGCACAATGATTCGAGTTATGAACAAAAACGCACGCAAGTGGACAACGAAAGGCAGCAGTCGAAGCGTGCCGAACAAACTCCTCGAAGTCACGGCTGTCCGTGACTGAGTATGGTGTTGAAGAGTGACGCTGGATGCAGACGCGTCCTGTCGTATCAAGCACTAACCCGCAACTGGTTTCAAATGTAATTTTCAGTACTGATTAAGTTGAACCCTGGATGTGTAGGTGGAATTCCTCATGTATAAACTGTTCTATATGACGAAGATGTGGGAGCGAATCTGAGAAGCAGTATGTTCGGCAACCACATGGCAAAAATGACAATTGTAATGAAGCAAAGCAAAAGCTCGATCACATATTGTATAGTACTAGACAAACAAATCAGTGTGACAAATGCAAACAAAGGATCGTATGATAATTATTTGAAAGGCATTGCGAGCTTCCGGTCTATAGGGAAGTAACGCACTCTTAATAACTAGTTGTTTACTAGTAGTTATTTTCAATTAGCGTTATTATGCGACTGCGTTACGTTGTTTCGTATGAACTATGCACCATCTGAGTTTCATTTCGAGCAACACTTAGCAACCGAACGAATGCCGAACGAAGTTCTCCTTGATTCGTCTGAGTGACTTGGAAACGGTAGATCCCGCTTTATGATGAAGTTCATGCATGTTTGTATACTGTCTATTCTATTCTATGTAAAACACAATGTTATTTACCCGAGTGGAAATACATACAGTTACGTCTATTTATTCAACAACTTGATACATACACGTACGCACACACGAGCATACACAAAACATACCGAGACTGAAAAGGTTGTTAATAAAGCCGATACACTGTATATTTATGGTAAATGAAAAAGTCACTTTGCTAGTTCGATATCTGTTTATATTTAAAATCGTAGAACCGGTTTTTACTTTTGGTTATGTGAGTATGATGCTTTCGCCGACGACAGTTTCTTCAGTGCAGCCAGAAACACGTTCCGTTGGGGCTTCGTCCATGTTTAAGGTACGCTACGCAAAAAACAACGTGAAGCTTTTGCCCAGTGTGTAAGCTGCCGTCATCGTTGCCAGGTGAGAAATTCGGCGGACAAAATGTCAAAACAGAATAATCCTAATATGAACCATAAACGGGCCGGGATGTCCTACCTATTTCAGACGCCATGCCTTTCAATGCGAAAAGGCTATACGACGATTTCGGCCTAAATTAATCTAAAGTAAACGATTTCTGCTTTCTCAAAACTAAAAATTGCTTCGATTCGGCTGAAGCCTGAGGGTACAGGGCCCGGGTCGTCGCTGCAGACCTCGTTGTCGCAAGTAAAAAGCTTGCCATTTCTAAAAATATAACAGTTTATTCAATACTTAAAAAATCTAAAGGGTGATGTTAGCTTCGTTGCGTTTGCAAAAAATTATGTCTAATTAGCTGTTGTATGGCCTTTGCGCAATCGTCGCCGAAAATGAAACCGTCGCAGTTACAGAAGTATTAAATACTTGACCGCGTATCTGAGAAAAGTAAGTTCACTCATAAATGAAGAACGCAATACATCAAGTCTTAGCTGTTCACTAGAGAGTTAGGTTTTCAATCACTAGTTACTGAGCTACGAAAAAAATAATAGAAAATATTACATCTCTCGCACATAGCCTATTCTCCATGCTTAGAGTTATCGAACCGGAAAACATCTGGGGAAGGATGTTTTCCAGTACGATTAGTACCTAAATACGACTATACGCTTCATCCGGTGAGGGAAACAAATTGACCATGTCCTAATACTGCGACAATAGTTATGTTGCTTCTAAAAATAAATCGTTTATGTATATGTAGTTCTACAGGGCATAAGGTGCTTGTTTGCGAATAATTCGTATCAATGATATGATTTGTTGGATTAAAATGCGCATTATGTAAAATGTGCCAGCGTTAACCATCTGGACGTTCACAGCAGTCTGACGAAAGCGTTGGCTGTTGAAGGAGACCCACGTCATGTATATATCGTAGCTGGTCCTCGCTGGGTCGATGAGATTCGCTTCCTAATCATTTGCTATGATACCAGGAGGTATAACTTTGATGGAAAGAGGTTTGGTCATCTTTGTGGAATTGATTGGCGCTACCGGGGTAAAACTACCCGAGCCGTGTACGGACCTCTCATGAGCTTCAACCCGAACGGCAAGCAGTGACGAAAAAGCACATTGACTACAACGGTGGACGTTGTGCGCTCTCTGATGAACTCGTAACGCCTACGTATTTTATTCACAAATAACGTTTTCTGTTATAGTGTTTGCTAGTTTCGAAACAAGGTAGACGTACTCTAAACTTCGTAAAAGTCTTATCGAATAGTACTTTCGCAAGTGGATTCTGTCGCGCTAGATAAACTTAATTTGCATGAAGCAAGTAGTAAGTGCGACAACGATTTGCCTTGGCTATCAGGATCGATTTGTGAATAGCTGACGTATCCAATCAGTGGAGATCAGATATGAGACAGTAAGAATTTATAGAATCACAAATGTCGGCGACATATTTTACGTATCTGTAATGAAGTAGTCACATGTACTTCTCTCGATGTATCACCGTGTTGAAGCTTAGGATTATTACTAGTCAATTACTTCTGCTGAAATAGACTGTTGTTAGCACGTTTCCCTTTGTGTGCAAAAAAAATTGCACTATCTCCCGCATCCCGAATATCTTATACTGATTCTATATATTCTGATATATAAGATCAATATTTTATCGCATACCTTGAACGTGGGCGCTACCAGGTCGCAGTTTTGACATGCGTAATGATGAAGTTTAAGGTGCGCCTTGAGAGCTTCAGCATTGCTCGCAGCGAACGCGCAAACGCCACAGGCAAGCGGGTCGTGTTTGGCATGACTCCGTCGATGAGCCTGTAGGGCATCCAGACGTGCCGAGGTAAACGGGCACCTTTCACAGGAAAACGGTTTTTCACCTGAATGTGTTAACCTGTGCCGCTTAAGATGGTGAAGGCGATAGCTCGAGTACGAACAGCTATCACAACGGAACATCTGAGGACCGATCACGCCACCGCCAAGTTTGACAGCTATGAAATATAGATAACACACGTGGTCAACACTCAGCCGACAACTATGAAGAACCAGTTATATACATGATGTGGTACAGGAAGAGTACGAGCAACCGCACAAATAATATTTACCATCTCATTGAAATGCGCTATTTAAAATCGGCACCTTTAGCGGTTTCATCGGAAATTTCGTAGCAAGCAAGCAAGCAAGCATCTACAAGCAACGTACGGCCACCCCACGTGCTGAACAAATTTATAGGTAGAAAAAGGCAAATTGGCTTTCTCTGGCTACATGTGACATTCTCTCAGAATCGACTGTATGCGCGCATTCTCAGATACGCCATCAGGAGCGAGCGTAGAACTGAAGTGTTGATGCACATATCTGAAATATTCAAATCCGTAAGATAGTGGCAGTCTTATCACAAGCAGTTATTTATTCTCATGCGGTAATTTCGAGATTCAGCGAGAAGCAAGATACGCGACGGCCCTACCGACACTTCGACAGCTGCCGGATTTCTCGAAAAGAAAACAGTCTCACGTTCCGTGATTAAATGCATTGCTTCTGTTTGAATCAAATCGGCGGCGGCTGCTGCTGCTGCTGATGATCTTCACTTCAGATCTAATCACTCTCATACGCCATTCGCGTTCGAGGTCCTGTGCGCTTTGCTTTTTCCATTCTCTCTATTTCGGACTTTTTAGCTGTGCCGGTCTCCTCGTATTGCCATCGAACTGCCACTGTCGCATGTCCTTCGAGCAATATTCCTAGAAGCAACCTGGCCAACATCGACGGCTGCAACTTATGCTGCCTCATTCAGGACAACATCGCGCCTGCAGAGAGTCTTAGCTCTTGACTTTTTTTTCGGTTTCTACAAGGACCGGCGACCGTCTAACGGAGTGCCGAGTGAACGACTAACCAACTATCAGCTATTTCTGTTTAAAGTGGCAATAGTTGTTGTCGTCTTGAATAGAAACAGGCGATGCGTTAAAAGCAACGATTCAGTGGCCTGCTCCGAACTTCGTTCGATTCGAGGTTACTTAGAACGACGGCAATTGCCGCTCAGCCGTTGACTAAGCAGTGAAGTTGCTGTAACAAATAACAACCTATCATCATTGAGGCGCTGCGGCCACCATCAACGCATCCATGAGCGCAACAAAAAGAGAACAAAGGGAGAAAAAATAGAAATAGGGGTGTCTATGCGTGTGTGTGTCTGCGTGTGTACTATCTAGGTGCCGTCTAAACGCTGCCGAGCGAAGGTGTCGCCTGTTCTTGGATGGGGCCGTGAAGTTCCTAGAAAATTGAAGACGACACAAAAAGAAAACATCGGCAGAGTCATCGTTGAGAACCTAGAACACTCAGAGAGACTTTGTAATTGTCAGAACAAGCCAAAGCAGATAGCAAGAGGTTGGGGAACGTTGACTGCAGAGATGTTTTAACTGGTATGGGTGTATAAGTATATGAGTGTAATTAGTGAAACGCGATATAGTGTTTTTTATGATGATGATTTCCAATGCGCGCTATCAAAGCAACGATGTCCGACGCTCATTAACGTAGGGGGCCGTGGCTAGCTAAAAAGTATAGTTCATAATGGTTAGAAGTTGTTTAGGACTAAACGATATTATAGGAACGATAACTATAGATAGAATAAGTACTGTATTTGCTTTGTTTGTTTTTTTTTGTTTGTTTGTTAAGAAAAAATGTTAACGAACAAAAATTGTTTCTATTAAGATATATAGCAAAATTATTTCATTGAGCACTCACCAGCGAATGGCCCCTGAAAACATTACAATTACGACAACACGAAGACACTTTTTAAAGGGGAAAGTCGATCGAAACGATATGATTAAATTATTACTACTCTTTATACGCGCCTACGGTAAAAACGTAATCGAGAGATTCGAGCAGTAAGGGACCACTTTAATTAGTTTTACTTATTTACTTAAAAAAATTACATCATGTATGGCTGTCAGTAACTACAAAGGTCTTGTTCTAATACAGAAAATATTTTCGAAAGTAATGCACAGAGACAGTTAGTCTGAGGATGTCGTCTGCACTTCGAAAAGACGCACTTCCTTGATACGTTCAGAAAAATCTGGCCGAACCATATCTGCTAAAGCCGTCTATAGAACTTGCGCTTGTGCTAGTATGTTGCAACTTACAAAAGTGAGTCCTTAGCTCGTGCAACGTTTCTATGATGTTAAAGACAAGGTTAATTGCTTAGATCGTATACTAATGTACGCTAACAAATAAATAAGTAAGCACTTTACCACATATACTTTTGTCCATCTAGAAGGCCGGTCATCGAACGATTGTTTAACCGAAGTTCGCAATGAAAACTTGCAGTAATGCCAAATTATGGGTTGAGATTCTTTGAGATTTTTGTAAATCGTTCTCGTCGCAATAGATATTAGGCCGAAATCCTGTTTTCGACTGCCTCTTGTCTCTTAATTAACTTCGACATTTTTGTTACCTGTACATCTCGTCGTACAAAAAATATATCCAACTAACGCGGCTAACTATTTCAGTATCTGCTTTCGTACACGGCTAGACACACATACAAACGGGCTTGCGCACACGTTCCGTTGATGAGCCAATCTCGCCTTCACTTTCTTCTAGCTGTACATGTTTGGCTAATAAAGTGAATTACACAATAAATTCAACAGGTGATAGAGTCACCAAAGAAGTAAGTGGCTAACGAACTGTTAACATTCTTCACGAGGTTCAGTAAAACCGTGCATGAACACAAGTGCGGAAGGTCACAAATCTTGTGGAACCCCCTACATCGAAGTAAACCTTGAAGTTATTGGATTGGCAGCGACATGTGAGCTACAATGGCGTCAAAAGGCAACGGGTAGGACGGTGCCGTCCTGGCCACGGGTTGTAATGAATATGCTTTTCTTTTTTTACCACAGCTTAAGGCAGCCATGTTCAGGCAACTACGGCTTTAAGTATTAGAGTTGGAGAGGGTCCAACAGACTCCTCGAGCGAGAGAAGGAAGTTCAGCCTCGTTTATCCTCTCTCGTAACCCCCGTTATACCTCAATATCGCTTTCGGTGCTGTTTCGAATCGTTGCTTCGTATGGCACAACTGAATTTCAAAGTTGGATCGCGGTAACGTCGTGCCAAACATATCAATACTAAACTGTGATAAAATTACAAAACCTTTTTCTAAATAATTTATACGTTTCCAGCGTGCAATAATAGGTAGCACTGTCTTGATGGAACCGTCGATTGTCCAAGTCAAGTTAATTTAGTTTCGGCTACAGAAATACGCACATTGTGTCTCCATAGCATAGACCATTACCAGAAAGGTAAAAAAATAATCGGTTGACACCTTCTATATGGAGCTTCCGTCGCGCAGTTAGTCTAGCTCCATAAGCGGATTGTAAGTGCATGTTGTGAAGGGTCTGCTGGCCTACGCGCAGCGGTTTTGCTCATTTCAAGATCCAGTCAGGTAGGGCTGTAGAATTGAATTTCTGGGTTAAGTAGATCGTATAAAACAGAACGCCAGGACCTTCGTACAACACGCACATACACGTCACGACACAATGCTGTAGATTCGAGTGTTTCAACCGGCAAGAAACCGACGTGTTTGGGTTATTTTTCTTGACACGTTCTCAGCCGTTGAATTAACGACTTCTTCTTCTTATAAGTACTTTAGGCTAGGGGGCAACATGTGCAGACCCAGTCGCCTTGCACCTTTACGCAAGACTGTGCAACAAAAACCTAGCAGATGCGCCATGCGACCGCGAGGTGCACGATACCGTCGTAAGCACTTGACTCTAAAACGGTCGTATTTGTAGAAAAGTTGATGACCTGAAATCAAATTTATCTCCACGACAAAACGGTAGTCTCCGACGGTTCTTGCAAAACACTAGTGTTTAACATCCAGAACTTTATTGCAATGCAAACATTTTAATGGAGTTGAGGCATTAGAAATAGGTAGCCCCGCAGATATCCATGACGTTGTCAAAAAGACTGCCGTATATTTATTACCGGTAAATTATATAATTATTATTATATTTTTACTATATATATTAATATTATTATATGTTGCGATTATAAATTGGGGCAAAAAACTAATGATTAACCATGTTTAATTTCATAATCATTTAATAATTATATTATACTATGAAAAATAAACTGGGAGCTTAATTGTCTATTATGATAACATTATAAGAGTAGATAAACACTTGCGGTCTCCCTATCATCAGTGTTTAACAACGAATGAAACACACCTAAATCAATACCTTTCTCAAATATTCCTAAACTAGTCTCCTAAGTCTCAACGTTTGCTACCACTCAATTTTCATCAAATAAAGTATAGGGTTGATGCTTCTATTTATTGAAATATACTATTTCTAATAGTAAATATAATATAATAAATAATAAAAATAAATAAGAGTTCACGGCCTGTGTGTTGTAGTCCTTTTAGTTTGGCGCCAGTGTCGCTAAGCTTCTAGAATTTTTCATCGACAGACTTATTGATGTCATTTTTCCACTACGAAGCCCACCGGAGCCCACCGGAGCCAACGATTTGCAACGGTTGTGGACGAATAAAAGTGGCTTTGGAAAGCGAAAGGACTATTTGGCGCGCTCCTACGCAAATAACTCGCTGCCACTTGTGAAGCGTATCGTTTTGGCAAAACCTCAAAGTTTCGCACAGGTCATCACCAACGTATATGACCTATGTAGGTAAAAGAAGTTTATCATATAACAAAATAGTAATATTGAAAAAAAAAACTGAGAGCAAAGCGCAATAGGATATTAGCAATTATTTTATAAAAACCACGCCTTGAGCATCTTTCATTTACGCCGCTGAATATAGCTGGTAACTGAATTGGCTTGGCCAACTCTAACGTGTTGACATTGTGAGTAGGGCTCTGTTAGCGGATAGCGGTCGGCTGTGTTTAAAGCAGCCGACGTACTCTTGCTGTACGAAAATTGATGCACGTGACGTGCAGCCAATTCCATTGGCTATTACCGTGCATGTGTCACTTTTCAAGAAGACCTTCTCGCAACACACGTCACCTTAATGGTAACGTATTCTGTTGTTTCCGACGCTCGACTTCGATCAAATGTCGTTGAGCACGCGAACGTTTTTGCATTTTTCTGTTACGACTCATAATGATGACGTAGAGGACTGCTAAAGTGTGTATGATGCGCTTTACATTCCCTTTCTTTACAGTGGCGTATGCAGAGCTTTGGAATACTCCTTTGGCTTGACGGCCCGGCCCAACTGCATGCGCCAATTTGCATAGCCTACGCCAGCATCTACCGGCGTTCAGCGTTGTAGCAATAGACCTCGAGTGGTGACAAGCATCATTGCCGTGCATCAGGGAAGCCGGACACGAACGAGTTTACGGGCCTAATCTATGGACATTATTCAAACGAGAAATGCACAATATCCGATATTGAGCTTACATATGGTCAAGTGATTTTTTGTGTGAGG